CTTTGCACCTCCCGTAAATCCAGCATAGCATTAATATATTAAAGCGGGTTAAACTAGTTAAATTGATTTTTTATATATTTTTAGATTTTCGTTTATTCAAGATGGAACTTTGGTGAGGTTTCAAAAGGCCCATTAGCTGTTTGACTTGGTCTATTGCAGAGCGTTTTGCTGAAACATTAAGTTGCTAAAATCTAGTTAAAACTAGTTTAAGTCTTTTAATATTTTTAATTTTTATTTTTATAGATTTGTTATTTTTATTAAGCAAGCTTAAAACCTGAAAACTAAGCTGCAGCCTAGCAATTTTTTAACGTTTCTACATCAAATCATTAATTGCCTTGTTTGACCCGGCAAAAGCCCTTTTTCTGAAACAGCAAGTTGCTGGGCATCGCGACAACAAAATTTCACCATTTTTGAAATCGATTGAATCAACCCTGGAAAGTCGCAAACCACTTTAAAGGGGACGTTCAGGGACGTTTTTTGGAAAAAGCAAAGATTTTTTGCCGCGGCCGGGGGTCGAACCCGGGCCCACCACTCGGGAGGCGCGGACGGATACCAGTCAGCCACAGCTACAACCTAGCGAGGGGGCGAGGGGCGCCCCACGCCGCAAAGGAGGGGAATGCCCTGTCACAGCACGGGCAGGCCGTGCACGCGGTCCCTACGTCCATAGGGTGTACACGTTGGGACGAGTACACGGCCCCTCCCTGAACGTGCGCTTTAAACCCGTTAAATTTATTTGCTATTTCCATTTATTATGGATGTAATTTAATTTCCTCAAGCCTGATTGGCTGTTTCCTTTGATCCGGAAAAGATCTTTTCGATGAAACATTATGTTGCTAAAATCGGTGAAACCAAATTATCGAATTTTCACAGATTCTTTGATTTGATACATAGATTAGCCTTGAAATACCTTGCATTAGTTCAAGCATTACAGTGGAACGTATTTTTTATTTTTACACGGTTGATTTATTAACTAATTTTTTTAGATTAACTGACTTTGTCTCGTAATTTTTGCCCGTTTTGTGCGCTTACCTGCCTTGCTGGTCTCTTTCAAAATTCACGATGAGCAGATGAACAATTTTCAAAAATTTCTTTAACAGCAAATGCTGCAAGGAAAAATTATTGACCGAGTCCAAGTCCGGTTTGATTGGCCCGCCGTTTCCGGATCGATCGACTTTTGCATTCGAAACACTTTTCCAAAAAATTTTTTACACAAAAATAGCTGCTTGTTTTGTTATGGACTTCACGGATTCGTAAAAAAACACTGAAAGAGCAACTCTAGCAAATTAATATGCTACTAGTATTTTTAATTCGATATTTTGGGGATTATTAGTTATCATGGTTTCCCAAGATCAACAATTAAGCCCGGCAAGAACAGGCTGGTATTAGAAAATGACGAAACATATTTTTTCGCGATGATATCGCTTCCACTTGATCTCCGAAAATCTTTCTTTAATGTAAAGCCATTGACTTTCCTAAAACCGATGACATTTTGCCCTAAAAGTTTCTATTAGCCTGTCCGGAATGTTTATTTGTTTTGTATCCTATCTCAAGTACATGGGCTGGTCGATTGTCAGTTTAAATTTGGCTAATCTAATAAATTGGCTTCAGATTATATAACTTCACTTTGATTCTTGAAACCCGTATTTTCAAGGGATTCTACAATTCTTCTTTGCTGCCCTGGCCTCTTCTGAGATCGAAATTTCCTCAAATAATCTCTGCTAACCTATCAATGATTGTTTATTTGCTTTGTATCGTATTGCACGCACAAATCCGGTTCAACCTGCCGACTTCGGATCAAAAATCTTCACTTTTATGCCTGAAACCTATCGTTTTCAGCAGATCATTTTAATTTTATTTCCCTACAAATCTCTGCTGGCCTGCCCTGTTCTAGTGCTTCATATTCCTCAAGGATCTCTACTAGGTTGTCCATGCTTTTCTTTGTTTTGGATCGTATTTCATTACACGTCGGAGTAACTTGCATTGACTGTTGCAGATCAAAGATCTTCGCTTTTATGCTTGAAACCCGTATTTTAACGACGATTTTTTACAATAAGTTTCCCAAACAATCTCTACTAGCCTGCCCTGCCCCCCGATTGCAATAGGTGTCAGGGCTAGAGAGTGTGCACGTGGCCCCAGTCCCACCAGCCGGGCGCCTATGAGAGCTATGAGTGAGACTTTCCGAGGGCCTGTACTCACAAGTATCTCCTCCCGCAGAGAGAGAGAGAGAGAGAGAGAGAGAGAGAGAGAGAAGAGGGAGGGAGAGAGAGAGAGAGAGAGAGAGAGGGAGAGAGGAGAGAAGATGAGAGAGAGAGCACAGTCGCTCTTCGGAACACTAAAGAGTTAGCAGGGCCCCTTGCACAAGAATGTGTGGGGGTCCCCCGGGTAGAAACACTAGGAAATCCCAAGGCTGAGGGGAGGATAATTGATTTAAGGATAACCAAAGTTGTCAAGGTAACAATAACTTTATCGGATTTTGGTCGGATTCCGGACAAACTTTAATTGAAAACTTCAATTTCTTCCGTTGATTTCTATGAAATAAAACACATTTTTTGTCCAAAAAAAATTTTGAAGTTAGTTTACACCGGCAATAACTTTATCTGTATTTTAATAACGATCTCTTCTGTATATCCCAGAGAGTTCGAAATGATTCCGTTTAAAAAGTATTCTTTTATTATGTATGACACGATCGTTTTTATAGGGAGTAAAAGCCGGGACCGCTTAATGAATTCCATACGATCACTAAACGGGTTGCAAATTCGTGAAACATTTTTTGTTTAATTCAAACTTCACGTTTTGTATATTACCTTTTCCAAACTTAGTATTCCCAAATTATCTTCGCTAGATTGCCCTCCTATGGGATCCTCTTATTTCTTGAAAAAAGCTCTGCTAGCCTGCACCGTTTTTAAAATTTGTTTTGGATCTGATTTCCTATCGATTCGAACATATGTTGTTTTTTTACCGGTTATTCATAAATACCGCTATCATATCCTTGCAGCCGGATATATTAAGACATTGAACAGCGAGAACGTACATCAGAGATACTACTAAAGTAAATAGACCGTGAATTTAAAAAAATGGCTGCCTATTACTTCCAAGAGATGCAACATTCTTCTCACAACGTTTTTCAAACTTAGTGTAAGTCAAAACTAGTTTTATCTGGGTTTCAAAATATTGCGATTTCTGTTTCTACATGGTCCGGAAAGGCCCAAATGACAAGGTATGTGATTATTTATCGAAGGATCGTTTTTCGATAATCCACAAGGAACGAGGCGCCTATTAAACCCAAAAACTTCACTAAGCGACTCCCCAAATCGTGAATCATACTCTTTTTATCGCTGAAAAAAATATTTCGTTTATGACTTTTTCCAAGCTCAGTAGTCCCAAATGATCTTTGGCAGCCTATCCTTTATCCCTTCCGCTCAAATCCCTCAAACAATCTCTGCTAGCCTGCCCTCCTCTCGGGGTCCGTCCATTTCCTCAAACAATCTCTGCTAGCCTGCCCTCCTCTCGGGGTCCGTCCATTTCCTCAAACAATCTCTGCTAGCCTGCCCTCCTCTCGGGGTCCGTCCATTTCCTCCTCCAATCTCTGCTAGCCTGCCCTCCTCTCGGGGTGCGTCCATTCCTCAAACAATCTCTGCTAGCCTGCCCTCATCTCGGGGTCCGTCCATTTCCTCAAACAATCTCTGCAAGCCTGCCCTCCTCTCGGTGTCCGTCCATTTCCTCAAACAATCTCTGCTAGCCTGCCCTCCTCTCGGGGTCCGTCCATTTCCTCAAACAATCTCTGCTAGCCTGCCCTCCTCTCGGGGTCCGTCCATTTCCTCCTCCAATCTCTGCTAGCCTGCCCTCCTCTCGGGGTCCGTCCATTTCCTCCTCCAATCTCTGCTAGCCTGCCCTCCTCTCGGGGTCCGTCCATTTCCTCAAACAATCTCTGCAAGCCCGCCCCAGCCATAAATCGATAATGGGCCCAAAGTACCCTCTCGTTCCATTTTGTTTACCCGTCAATTGTAGCCTAGCGTAGTCGAGTGATTTGACAAACTGTGAAGCCGCCGACACGTTAAGTGGCTTCTTCTTAGAAATTGCAAAGTGTGAAGAAAACCAAGCCGCTTTTTTATTTTTTTCGGTTAGACTTTGGCGCTTCCGAAATGCACTCGGAACCCTCGGCCTCCCACGGAAAACACTCGAACTTGCCCATCCAAGAGTTGTTGATGATTCTAGAAGCTTTACCGGGGGGACAGTTCGGGTTGAAAGTTCGGAAATCGGTGGCAGAAAAAGAGGATGTTTCGAATAATCTGCGACTGAATGACGCTGAGCCGCAGGCAGTATACCGGCGACTTCGAACAAAATAAATATCGAGTGTACTTTTTTGCTTCTTAAATTGTTGTGTTTATTATCTTTTATTATCAAAACCTCCCCACCCTTTTTAAACAGTCAAAGAAGTTAAAGTTCTTCACATTTCAGTGTGTATGTTAGTTTGTGAAGAATTAGGAAACGGCTCAGGAAAATTTGAATATTTCGAATACTTGGCGGGTTGTAAATCTGATAGGTAGTGCTTAAAGGGACTAGGCAGCTAATAGGATCAGAAGGCAAACATCTACGGATGCCAAATGTTTCAAAAAATTGACGGTTAACAGGGGCCGGAAAGTGAGCAATCCGTTGCGCCGAAAGCTGGTTGAATCTAAAGGCTCTAGCGCCCTGTCGCGCTCTCGCTCTCTCTCACACGCTCTCTCTCACTCTCTCTCCCTCTCCCTTTCGTCGCTCGTCTCTCTCTGTCTCTCTCGCTCGCTCTCTCGCTCATTCTCTCTCTATTTCGTGATTTCGAATTATTTACTATTTCTTCTTCTAAATCAAATTAGTAATCCTGAGAAAATCTTTTATTGGAAATTCTTTTAAACATACTTTTAAGCAATAACTTGATGAATTTAAGAAAATTCATATATTTTGAAAATTTTGACAAAATGTCATTGTTATTTTATTAACTCATTCAATCCACGATTTTCCAGACCAACAACCCGATGCGGACATCAAGGAGCCAGGTGGTGACGGTATTTTTGCATTTTAAAGGGCCATGGAAGCCCCAAAAATCAAAGAACATATCCGGAAAATCAGGGCTCGCAGGCCAGGTGAATGTTTATTGTTCCTATAAATGTTTTAAAAGTCTTAAAATTTAATTAAAATCAATGTTAAATGTTCCCCAGCATGTGCATGGCCTCGTGTCCCGCAAAAATCGATGAGACTCGTTCAAGGAAAATTGAAAAAAAATTGAGAGAAAATAAAATGTTTTAAAAACTTTCAAAAATCAGCAAAATATTTTCTCATCAATTTTTTCGTTCGTACTTGTTCCGTCCTTTTTTAGTCGCCAGCGACAAGGGCAAGCCGAAGGCCGATGAGGAAGGTATCGGCATTTAATGAATAAAATTATTTATTTTTTTATAGAAACCACCGCCGAAAATGCGACTGATAAACGGTAGGTATATTATAAGCATTTAATTAATAATAGCTATTTTAATAACAAGCTTTCAGATCCGGTAATAATATTTTTATTAATTATAATGATCAAAGTTAAAGTGAATAAAGTATATTCCTTTAGAAACATATAATGTTTTAATAAATTTAATTTAAATTCTTTTCAACATTTTTTTATTAATTTCAATAGCACAAACAAGATTTGAAGATACATTTACTAAAATATGTTTCAATTTCGTAAACATATTTTCAGAGATTTTTCTAGACTAATGACTCCATCTGATCTAATTATCCATCAAAAATAATGTAGGGTTTAAAAATTTTTGCTGCCTTGATCTCTTCGTTTTTTTTGGAGGAAAACGTTAACGTTTTTTTGGTTATTTGGGAATAAAAACGCTTTAAAAATTACTATCGTGTTATTAGGCCTTACAAGGTCAATACAAATAAAAACCGTTTCCTTGCCTGATCCCTCCCCCCCCCCGATAATGCAAAAGCACCGAAAAAAGCTCTATGAAAATCGCTAATCCAATTAAATTTGTTGCTATTTAACCAGATAATAGTAAAATCGCAATATTATTTATTATTATCCATCGTGGGGTGAATTCCGGTGGTTGAGCACTAAATAGCCAATTTGGCGAAACACAATTTTTTACAGTTTTTTTAAATTCCACTGAATCGTTAGCGTCTATAAATAATAATTATATATATTAATAAATAAACAACAATAATAATAAACCATAATAAATAAAGAATAATATGTAAGAAATAATAAGTCATAAGAATCAACATCAATGGACAAGATTCGTTTCAGTGAAGCGTTCAAATCGTCTAAACGGCGCTCCACCGAGAAGCAGCTCACGAAGAATTTGCATGTCAAGGTGGGAGGGTTTAAAAAATAAAACGCAAAAAACATCCAAACCAACGAAGTAAATAATAGGGAATGGAATCCATGGAACTGATTGTTAATAGAACCGTTCAGGTATTAGACAAATAGGAAACATATTTTTTTTTGAAGAGCCGAAAGGCTTTGGGGTGAAAATCAGCCAAAAAAATTGTCCTATACAAATATATATTTAATACCCAAATCGATATATAAAAAGATTATAGATTTAGATTTGGATTAAATTATCTAGGCTCGTCTTTAATTCAATTCAGAATTTTTGGGTTGGGCAGTACAGCAGAATCAAAAGTGCTACGAGGCGGGCAATGGCCGGTTCAATGAAACTTTCGATATATATCAATTTTTTTTAAGCTTAAAAGACCCCGTTTCCCTTAAATTCCGTTAAAAATCAAATTATGCAAAAGATTGTCATTTACTCAAAAAAAGGCGATTTTTGGATTAGGACATGTACCTCGGATTGCTACTTTTGACTGTCAAGCTGATTGAGAAAGAATGTGAAACATAAATTTTTAGCTGGGCTTACTCCGCGGGCTACGGGTTGCACTTTTCCGAAGCGCATTTTTTAAATTTTTTATAGGATCGGGTCGAATTGTTTCGGTCCAAAACGAGGTTCATCGTGGTTAAGAAAATTTAGTTCATTTAAACAAATAAAAAATAAAATTAGTTATGAGTACCGGGCAAATTGAAATGTATTAATTTAGAATAGAGCCAAATAAATTTTTTTACACCAAAATTTCGTTTGTTTTTGCTGTTGAACCTTTACGCAATTACGGTTTGCTTCCCCAGCTTGTACTGCCAATTTTGAGAAACACACATTTTCAGCTCAATTAATTTGAATGAAGCTCATTCAGCCGAAATAAAACATTTTGATAAAAGGAAATGAAAACGTGCCAATTTATTAGAATATTGATTCAGAGCATAGCGGAAAAAACCGACTTAAGGCTCCGCGTGTAAAATTTGTCAAATTTTCTGCTGACCGTGATTAAATTGCGATTGGCTTGGACAGGGGATAACCTAAGCCCCTTGAAACATTAATTTTTCAAAGAAATATTTTTCGTAAACTTCCAAATTTAATTTTGATAATGAATTCAGGTATATCAGTCGGTTAAAATTAAATATATTAATCATGTAAAAAGTATATCCACAAAAATAAAAATAAAATATGTTCATATCCTAATCCTCTTTGTTCAGGGCGCCGAAGGTCTCGGAGATGCACTCTCCGAAGTCACCGCCGAAGCCGAATTCAGCGGCGATGAGCAGCAAGAGAAAAGCGTGGGTCATCTACCTCACCAGGAAAAATCGAGGGCCTCGCGTCGCACCCTCGAATCCACCGATCGCCGCACCACCATCGACTCGGAATTTTCGCAGGCCGAGGAGTCTGAAGCCGCCGAATTCGGGGCAAGATCATCTACCAGCCAAAAAACCTCTAAGAAAACGCGCGAGCCGAAGACCCGGGAGATGAGCCTCGACTCGGAGCTGAGCAGAGCCGAACTTGCCGGTGACGCCGAGGGGTCGGGACGGGCCGGCGAGAGGTCATCTACCTCCAAGAAGGTCAAGAAGACGAAGGATTTGCTTACCGGAATTGAGGCCTACGTTGAGAAACAGGAAGAGAGCCAGTCGGCCGACATTTCGGAGGCCGACGCCAACAAGGTCAGCGCCAAGAAGAAGATCAAGGAGCCGAGGCGCGCCTTGCCGAAGTTGGAGTCGGAGAGTCACGATTCTGAGGCGGACCCGTCTCGAATTCGGGAGACCGGAATCGATTCCGATTTTTCGAGAGCTGAAGCTGAACATGAAGCCGGCGTGACTGGTGCTAAAAAATCGAAGAAGAAGACCAAGAAATCGGTCAAGGAACCGGAGAGCCATACCTCCGATTTGGACGCCGACTTCAAGAAGGACGGCCAAATCTGCAAAGCTGACCTTGAAAATCAAGCAAAATCTAGCGAATCAGCTTCAAAACGAGCTCGAGAAGCCGGAAAATCGAAAACCGGCGTCTCAGGAAGCTTCGAAAAAGAGGGTGAAGCCTCTGAAGCTCATGCTCAAGCGGCTCTTGCTCGCAAGGGGAAATCCCAGGCCTACCGGGAGAGCTCGATCGACTCAGAATTTGCTCGAGATTCTGAAGCCCTAGAAGCAGATGGCGCTCAAAAGTCGCGCTCCCGCGATAAAACCAAAAAGAAGCTCAAGCAACCCGGAGCTTCAAAAACTTCCCAGGAGCTCGAGCTCAAGGGCAACGAAGCTGCTGAAGCCACTGAAGCTCAAAAGGCGCTTACTCGAAAAGCTAAAGGCACTGCCTACCGGGAATCATCTACCGATTCAGAATTTGCTCGCGGAGATCAAGAAGGTCAAGCTGGAGACGTACAAGCTTCAAAATCCAAAGCCGGAGCCGAAAAGAAGCTCCGCGAAGCTAAACTCACCGGGATCGACGCCAAGGAGTTCAGTGCGAGCAAGGACGAAGATTCTGAAGCTGCACAACAGAGCCTAGCAGCACAGGAACGTGACAAAGCCAAGAAGAAGCTTCGTGAAGCCAAACTTACCGGCGTCGACGCCAAGGAGTTCAGCGCGAGTAAGGACGAGGACTCTGAGGCTGCACAGCAACGTCTAGCAGCTCATGATCGAGCCAAGGCAAAGAAGAAGGTCAAGGGCTCGACCAGCCAGGAGAAGAACGTCGACTTGGACATGTCCAGGGGCGAGGAGTCTGAAGCTGCTGAACAGGCCCAAGTTGATGCCCATAAGAAGAAGCTGAAGAAGAAGCTGAAAAAGCCTGGCCAGCGCGATCTTTCGGTAGATAGCACTATCTCCCGAGACGGCTCGACTGGTGCTGCTCATACCATCTTGAAGACGGGCGACAAGCTGTACCAGCGCAAGAAGATGAAGTCGGTCAGCTTCGAACAGTCGTTGTCGGAAGATCTGCTACAGAAACCTGGCGAAGAAGCCGGAGCCGAAGCGACGAGACGAAGCAGTTCATCTGAAGCGGCGAAAAAGAGAGTGAGGGGCACCACCTCGAAGTCGGCCTCCAGGGACTCGGAGATGTTCAAGGAGGGCGAGGAAGAGGAAATTGAGGCAAGCCTGGACGGCTCGACGACGCCGAAGGCTAAGAAGAAGCTGAGGGCTGCTGGAGATGAACGCGCCGAACTTGACGCGGAGTTTGAAGGCGATTCTGAAGCTGCTCAAGCTGAGGCTACGTCTAACTCGAAGTCCAAGGCCAAGAAGAAGTCCAAAGTCAAGGGCAGCACCTCGGAGAACATCTCCGGCGACTTCGGCCTGGATTCGGAGGCTGAACGGCTTGAGGAGGAGGCCAATCTGGGGGGCGTCAACTCCAAGAAGGTTAGCAAGAAGTTCAAGGCCTCGGCAAGTGAGGAAGCCGAGCTTCGGGCGGAGTTGGCCCGCGACTCCGAGCAGTCCGAGGCGCAAAAAATTGAGCATGAGAAAAATGAAGCCAAGGATGAAGCCAAGCTAGGCCAGGCTGAAAAGGCAAAGCTGAAGAAGAAGAAGGCCGGCGAGGCCGAGAAGTTCACCTATGACAATTTGGGAGCTCCAGAATTTGTGAAGAAGCAGCGCGATTTGAGAGCGGAAATCGGGTCGACGGCTGTGATTGACGTCAAGATTCAGGCGAAGGAGAAGCCGATGGTGGGTAATTTTAACTTAATTTAAGGTATAAAAATTGGTAAAACAATTTAAAGCTTGAAAATAGGTAAAATAGTAGCTGTTAAATTCCTCAATTTTTTAAATTTTTTGAAAACTTTTTACAAAAAAATGTTTCGCGAAAGTTTAAGTTTCCGAGCATATTTTTATGGCGAATGGATCGGCCTTCTATAACGTTCAATATCCCTAATTTTTGTATTAAATATATAAGAAATTAAATTAATTTAAAATCCCTTAAAAGTTCTCAGGAATTATTGATACATAAAAATGGGATTCTATGGCTTCTATTTTCAAAGTTGCTAATTCGTCTATGCATTTGGAAAGCTAAAAAGCTGGCATGATTAAAATTCACAAGCTTCACTACTAGGGAATATTCGTTGAAACAAACATTTTTCAAATGTGTCTAAAACCAATGTTTTTTTAAATAATGCTATACTCCATTTCTTTTGTATTAAATTTTAGTAAAGCACATTTTAGCAAAGCGAAATAAGAAAATCAAAGAGACCAATTGATTATTTATTATTACGGCATGAGTTTTTGGATTTACTAAATTTTCGATAAAACACATTTTTGTTTAAATTTAATATTTGTTGTAAGCTCCTTTGAACTTGAATTTTTGTAGATCGCCATCTACAAGGACGACGGGAAGTTGGACCAGAAATCTCGGGGGGCTACCGTAGCCTTGAGCCGCGATGGGGACTTGTGGTCATTTTCGATGGTGCTGCCCGACGTGCAAAAAGCCGACGCCGGCTCGATTCGGATTCAAGTCGAGAATGCGGAGGGCCAGGCTGAGCACGACTTCAAGCTCGCTGTGGGAAAACCAGGTAAGAATAGACTTAGGCTTAGGCTTAGGCATTACGATACTAACAACCAATTATCTTTATAAATTTTGGAAAAAATACATTTTTCTACAACGAAGCTTCCAAAAGATTTAGAAAAAATTAAAATATCCTAAAAGTTTGAAAAATTAAAAATTGTTAAACCCTTGGTGTATTCTGATAATTAATAAAATCGATGTCGCGCGCCATACTTAATATAAATAAACACTAACAAAAATACTAAAAGCTTTTAAACATATTTTTGCTGTTTTTGCAAGACAAGAAAAAATTTTTATTACGTTTATTAAAAACCGCAAAAAAATTGAAAAGCAAAACAGAAATTTAATGGGGTGGTTTATCCGTTTGATATTTTAATTTATCTACTGATATCAATGGCGAGATTAGAGTTTCAAAAAGCGCTCTAACGTTGCAATTTTCTAAAACATTAAATTTTTCTAATAATTTTCCAAAAAAATACAAACGGGAAAAGTAGAATATCATGCTACGTATCGCGGGTGTAAGCTTAAAGTACGGAGGACCGACCAATATATTCTTCGAAATTTTTCCTCCCAATATTTTTCCCGAAACATTTATTTGGAATCATAAATTCCAAAAATTCAGAAACCCGCGGCAAGCTGGACTTCGAAGCCCCGCATCTGCTCATCGCCCTGAAGGACCAGGTCGTCATGGAGGGCGAGACAGCTAGGTAAGAATTTTTTTTTAAAGCCGATTTATCTAATCGTTCGCATTCCAGTCACTAAGATCTAAAATTCAGTTTAAGATATCGCAATTTAAAAGTTCTACTATGAAATAAAAACGGGAACTAAAGAAATTAAGTTTCACGTACCATTAAAAAAAGCAAAATTTTATGTTTCTCATGTAAGCGTGCTTCCGAGACGGCCTAGGGTATCAATTTAGAGTAGGTACCAAATCATTGGTAACTTGCTGATTTGAGTAGATCTTGTAGGTGTCGTTGAATAATTATTGATTACGGGGGTGCAATGCCCATTATACCTCACGCTACCTAGTTCCACGTTGTAGAATTGGACGCGTCTCCTAAATAACCATTTGTAAATTTACACTAGACCATTTGCATGCAAAATTTGGTTGAATTCCCGGTCGGTCGGTCGGGCGTACGGACATTAGAAAATTATATATAGTAGATTAGCCAGAAATTAGAAATTTCTGTTTCATAAAAAATTATGGTCCGGTGCAATTAAGGCAAAGTAATTTTAAATAAAATAAAATATTTAATCAGGTTGAATAAAATGCTATAATCGATTGCGCTATATACACTGTAGTTCCACGTTGTAGCAAAATCATAGCCTGTAAGACCGCGTTTATAAAAAACTATAAATGTTAAACTAAGGAAGATGACAAACATTGTATAATTTGATGTTACATAAAAATTTGATGAGTCCGTGGCGTTTGTGAAGGCTAATAGGCCGGCGAAAAGAATACCTACCATTTCGTTTGTTTCATTGGCAATAAAATAAAATAAGAAATCAACTTAAATTAAATACGTTAATCGATTACGCTATATAATTACCCCTTATAGGCTACAAGGACGCGTTTCCGGTTACCCGGCGCCCGAGCTGGTTTGGCTGAAAAATGGAAAGGAATTAGCTGTGGCCGAGGACCCGCGATTCGACCTACAGTACCGCGAGGAGGACGGACAGGTGAGGAATTCATTTTAAATCTTTTTTATTTCTATTGGAAGCTATGAAATTTAATGTTTGACTAACAGTCGGAAACTTATTACCAAAGAAATTTCCGTTTACTCAAAATAAAAAACTGAAACATGACTTTTTATCGCCTTTGAGAACACTGATTGACAGACTAGCAGAGATCAATTGTGAGGCGAGAGAGGGGGAGGGGCAGGCTAGCAGAGATCATTTGGGATGAGAGAGAGGGGGAGGGGGCAGGCTAGCAGAGATCATTTGGGATGAGAGAGAGGGGGAGGGGGCATGCTAGCAGAGATCATTTGGGATGAGAGAGAGGGGGAGGGGGCAGGCTAGCAGAGATCATTTGGGAGGCGAGAGGGGAGAGGCAGGCTAGCCGAGATTGTTTGAGGAAATGGACTAATTTTACTTAGGATTTTTTTGATAAACCGGAGAATTCATGGAAAGCGAGTTGGCACTACCACTAATTACAACTGAATAATTTTTTCCGTAGTGTTATGTTGAAACTTGAAGTTTCTAGGAGAGGGAGATTAGCAGCGGAATAGGCTCAAAATATACTAATAAAATTAGAAATACATAAATAAGCTATTAAACTCAAATTATATAAGATATAAGTTATTTTATTAAGACCACCTATTAATATTAACGTATTTTTCAGATCGACCTAGCAATCCGCGACTGCACGTTTGCCGACGACGACGAGTACAGCCTGCTGGTGGAGAATATTGCCGGAGTCGACAGCTGTAATTTCGAGCTGATCGTCGAGTGTCCAGGTTCGAAATTTTTTTCTCATTTTTCCTTAGAAAGAAAAAGCGGAAAACTTTCATAAATACATAAAAATCATAGAAATTCAGATTATGCATTTTTTGGAAAAATAATGTTTTGGAAACATTCCTTAGGACCTGGCATTTATATTGAGCTAATCTCGACATTTGTTTTGAGTTCAAAAAATTTAATGTGCTTTCTAAATTTCGTTTTGAAAAATATTTCACAAAAAGTGCTTCGGACGGCGAAATTATTTTAATGCTATTTTGCGTATTTATTATTTTTATTTTGTCTAAAAAATGTTTTATAAAAACTCCATGAGTTTGGAACATTTTTTCGAGGTAGTGGTCGCTTCCAAAGCAACTTTCCACAAAAAAATCTTTATATTTAAATATTAATTTTTTTTCTACATTTCGTGTTTTTCGCCAGCTATATTTTCCGCCTTAGTTTACGATGACGCTGCCCGGTTCGCGAGGAGACGCACAAATAAGAAAACCCGTAAGATGCAGCGTCAGGATGAGGTGGCCGGGACATCAGACTCGGAGATCGAACTCGAGCAGCAGAAAAAGAAGAAGGGCAAACGAGCAAAGAAGGTGAGGAGAGAGAGAGAGAGAGAGAAAGAGAGATAGAGAGAGAGAGAGAGAGAGAGAGAGAGAGAGAGAGAGAGAGAGAGCGAGAAAGAGAGGGGGGAGAGGGAGAGAGAGAGTGAGAAAGCGAGATGTAGAGAGGGAAAGCGAGAGCGAGAGAGAGAGAGAGAGAGAGAGAGAGAGAGAGAGAGCCTGTGCCGATTGTTTACAGGTGCATTTCCGAATCATAATGCAGAAATCAATGAAGGGCTTATAAGACGAAGACTTGAAACATACCCCCCCACCAACTTTCCTTTGCAGTTAAGCCAAAAAATAATAGCGATATCTTAACTGAAAAGCCTATATCGAAAAACTATGGCTAATATTAAATATTTTTCGATTAAAAAAGCCTTTTCGCAAATAAATTAGGAAACTAAGAAACCTATTGAAGCAACAAAATTCGGGGAGTCTCCAGGTTACATCGCATTACTGCAATCAGCGATAGCCAGGATGACGAAGTAATTTGAAACACTTATGCTTTCGATTGGTTTTGTTCTAATTTATTATCAAAAAATGCAAATTGGGAAATCAAGTTAGTTTACACGATAACGTATAATTCAATCCGTTTAAATAACCCGATTTGCAATGCCGATCCATTGGCGGAAGCAGGAGACTTTCGAAATTGAGGTGTTGAACGCATTAATTTTACGACAAGCAACTGCAAATCACAGAAAATTTGAAACATTTCGACTTCAAAACTTCACAAACTCCAAATTAAAATTGAACTTATCAAACCATCAAAATTTATATAGCTGAATTTGTAAGTGAACTTCCACCTCAATGCAACATGGTTGATTAATGCCACAAAATTCCGGAAAAATACGAAAATATGTGAAACATATCTGCTTGTAGATTTTACGAAAATCAAGGAGTCTCCATTTTAATATTTAAATGAAGGATGAAACCGTCTGCATGAGCCTTATTAAATCGGGATTTTTCATAAAATTAAACACAGGTTTTTGTGCTGGTGGTCAAACACGGAAAAATTATTTTTTAAGATTTTTGACAGGGAAAAAATTTTATGTGCATTTTTAAGCGATCAAAAACATACATAAAATATTGTTCCAGGTATTCGAGCGGAGCAACTCGTTGGCCAAGCGGATGACGCAGCTTTTGCCTCCAAAATTCGAGAAAATTTTATCGGACCACGACGCCTTGGAGGGAGAAAGTGTTATAATGTCTGTAGCGGCCCGAGGAATCCCCGAACCAGATATCCACTTCTACCGCGACTCCAAGATGATCGAGCCGGACGATGATCGGGTATGTTTCGGGATTTTTCACATTAGAAATTTTGGACCATTAACAATTAACAAAAATTGGGAAACCGAAATATGAGTGAAACGTTTTTTTTGAGAAAAATCAGTAAAATTAAATAATTTTCATACCTATCGAGCTAAGTACTGATATATTTTCGACACGTTTTTGTTTTGCTTTTTACATAGCTTACCTTGTTTCATTGGGAATTCTCTTCACGTCTCAACGCGATTGATTAATCGTAGAGAAAATAGAAATGCCAGTCTCTCGAGCTCATTAGGCAATGGCGACAAAAAGACTAATGAGATTTATCTGAACCATTTTTTTAGAAAAATCGACGTCGATAAGTTTTACTATGAATCTTTTATACGTGGTACCGATTATTAATTCTAGAAAAATACAGCAAATGAGAGATGGATGAACGATTTTTTGGTGAAAAAAGCTAGCTGATTTTCTTCAGGATTTGGTTCCAAAATGCGTCAGGATCTTCATCAATTGTCCTAAAAAAATTTGTTGATGGAATATGCCTGAAACATTTTTATGTGCACTGTTCAAGGTTTCTTACTTAGTTATTTTCTTAGTTAGGGATTATGCTTGATGAATAGTTAGATTCGGAACAACGATTCAGCTTTATTGATTTCCGTTAGAAAAGCAGAGGGCGTGTTAACCTGACAAACATTTTTTTTTGCAAAAGTGCCCCAGTTTCGAATTTTTATGGTTTTTATGTTTCGAGCACCGTTTTGTCAAAAATTTTTTTGGACACGACCAGGGACGTAGCGTAATACCGGCCCCGGGGGCCCGGGGCCCCCCCCCGAAATCGGCCGGGGCCCGAAAATTTCATAAGGGGGGACCCTTATGATTTTCATTTTCTCAAAAATTTTGCTGCCTGCGGCGCTATTTTTTTACTTTTTTACGGCTATTTGTAGAGCTATGTAACCTTTTTTTCAAAAAATTTTGCCTGCGGCGCTGTTTTCTCGTTAATGTTTTGTGGTTTTTGGAAAAAATTTTTGGGGGCCCCCCCCGAAATTTTTTTCTGGCTACGCCCCTGGACACGACCCATCAAATAATTCCCTCTACAACTGCTGATGAGACGTGTCTGAAACATTTTGTCTTAAGGAACGTTGATTTTTTTTCAAGTTTGAACGCCTAAAGTTGGTGCATTACTATCGTCAAAACAAGCGCAGACCCAATATATATGAAACTTATTTGTAAAATGGAGCAGCCGGCAATCCATACAATTTTTTAGTTATTCGACGCGAACTTCTCGATTGTTAAGCGCAAAAAAATCATGATATCAAATATATCTGAAACATTTTTTTGGGGTATTCGATATATCAACGTTACATTTTTTTCAGGTGTTCATCCGCCGCGGTGGGGCCGAGGGTGACCACAGCCACCAGCTGATCCTCAAAGATATTCACAAGGACGGCGAGGCAGAATATGCATGCCAGGCTGTGAATATTGCCGGAGAGGCGTGGTGCTTCTCCGAGCTCGTTGTCCACTCGTCCAAAGGTGTGTGTCCCGTGTCGATCGTATTTTTCACAAGAAATCTATTTTTCCCCACGATTTTCTTTATCATAAACCAAAAAGCAAAAAGTTTGGCACGCCCAGGATTCGAGCCCGAGCCCTACGCTTGAATAGCGAGACCACTACCACTTAGCCACCAGCCCGACAACCCCTGGTAAGTAGTTGCGCGTTTGCCTCATGCGCGTAGGGTGCGGGTTCGGGTCTTGGACATGACACATTTTTGCTTTTTTATAAAAAATATTAGATCAAATTTTTAAAGGGATTGTTCGACCAAAATTCAAGGCTCAAAAGTTGAAATTTGAGGTTAATCGTAATTGTAAAGTATCGTAGCGAATGTAATTTCTTTCTGCTTAGAAATTGATGTTTCGAAGAAATGCCAATTACCGATAGCATTAACGGCCTCACTAGACGAGCCCTTTAGTTGACATTTCAATATTAAAAACGCAATCATTTAGCACCATCTAGCGAGCATTTTCGAAATGTGACGCTTTAATCTAGCGCTTTTTTCCCATAGGATGCGTCGGTGGTTTCCGGCAGATTTTCTTTTATATGTCGACGTTTTGAGTTTCCACACTAAAATTCGACATCATTAAATGAGTGTTTCGCATTGCGCACTCAAAATCAATGTTTCGAGAAAGTAATGTATAAAGTATAAAGTAAAATGTGCGATTTGATTATTCACAAAATTCTTCCAATATTCACACCGTTGACAGGAGTTAGCCATTGGGCAGCCGATCGGTGTGGCCGATTGGTAGTGTTCTAGTTTAAGGAGCTACGGGTCCGGGTTCGACTCCCCGGGCCGGGGAAGCTTTTGCTTTTTGACAGAAAACATCAGAGTTAAAGAGCCATATTGTGAAAAATCTAAATCCAAATTTATGCACAAAATTCCCTTGGGTCGAAAAAACATGTTTCACTAAATTTGGAAGTTCCAAAATAATTAGGCTGCATTGATAGTTCTCTTAATTTTTAGCTTTACCATACCAAAAATCTACAAAAGAACAAAAACTAATTAAAAATCTGAAGCGGCTAGCAAACGGGGCTTATTAAGGGTCAGAAAACAATGTTTCGAAAATATTTCGGGATCATCGAAATTTGGGATATAGAATGTATCATCGATATGCCTTTCGAATTTTTCATTGATTCTTTTTAGTGTCCCGTCCACCCGTCCATTTTCTGTCTTTTTTTATTAACTCTAAATGTTGGAAATGACCCCAATTTTATGTTTTTTAAATGCCTTGTATATTTGTATACTAATCTATTCCCAAAAGCAAGACCAGGGACAATAGGCATTTCACCTGCCTGCGATCTCTGTTTTAAAGGAAAAAATAGCGGTTTCGCGTATTTTAATAATTTTAAATACACATTTTCCAATTTTTAAATTATTTTGGATTTGTGCAAAATTCACAGGAAAAATTCGATAATTAAATCTGCGTAAATTCAAAAAATATTAATTTTTCCGAAATATCTATTTTAACGCTCCCTCAAGAAGTGCCCATTAACATAGCAGAATTTTGTGGGTAACTGCATTTTTTTTGAAACATAGAATTTTTTCTAGGGTTTCAAAACGCTGGCAATTTTGGGAGGCGACTACTGTAGTACTCGTAGCCATTGTTGTCTCTATTTATAACTTGTCAAGTTTTATTCCACATTGGCTATTATGCAAATTCTTCAATTTTTCGAAAGGTGAAAATGCGTAAAATTTGAGACGGATTTACGCTTCACACATTAAAGCGTCCCGGTTTTTCGAAAGCCAGAATTTTTTTGAAACAGTATATTTTCTTGAAACATTCAAAATATTGTAAAATTTATTAAAGCATCGATTAAACCCAATCGAGAAATAGCGTATTTTTGACCACTATGAACCACGAATCCACTAAGACGTATTAATTTTACGGATAACAAAAAATTCTCGAAACATCAATTTTCCAAAAAATACCAACACTCGAGAGACTTTGGTATCGTTATAAATGTTACGCGTAAATAAATTTAACTCATTTGCATTGCATAGTTGGACCAATCAAGAGATAAATCTAGGAAATATATATAATTGTCGCTAAACCAACCGTGGATTAGGCAACATAAATTTTCCTCGAAAGCAAACTTTTTCGAAACATCTATTTTCTAAAATCCTAAACAAAATTTAAAAATTTTGGGATTGCAGCCATGACATAATTAAAGATTTCCGATATAAATAACTAAAAAAGTATATAAAAATACACAAAAAATATTTAGAACTCTCAAAAGCGCCCTATAACCCCAAATTTAGAAGGCTCCATCACCGGCGAGGAGCAGCAGAAGGCAGAGGTTTGTCAAATTGCCCCCCGAAAAGGGCAATTTTTTAGATAAAAATCACCGTAATTATTTTGGAATCTACCCCCACAGGCGTGTGGTGCCTAATTTGCATGGGTGTTCCCCCCAACATTCCCCAAATTTTCAGGAGAAACCCAAGAAGAAGAAGACGATCAAGAAGGACAAGAAGGAGCAAAAGCTAGAGGAAGATGAAGCTAAGCCAGCGAAGCCAGAAGACGAAGCTAAGCCGACCAGGCCAGTCGAAGCCGAAGCAGAAGCCAAGTCGACGAAGCTCGACGAAGCCAAGCCAGCTAAACCGGTCGAGGCTGAAGCCGAAGCCAAGCCGGCTAAGCTGGAAGATGAAGCCAAGTCGGGCAAGCCAGCCGAAGCCGAAGCCAAGCCCGAAGAGGAGGCCAAGCCCAAGAAGAAGAAGACCACAAAGAAGGAGCCCAAGCTTGAGGAGCTCAAGGAGGAGGCTAAGCCAAGTGAGGACGCCGAAGCCAAGGCCAAGCCGGAAGCTGAGCAAGCCAAGCCTGCTGAGCTAGAAAAGGAGGCCGAAGCTGAAAAGACCAAGAAGCGGGACGCCAAGGCTAAGAAGGAGGCTGAGGCGCAGAAGGAGGTCGAGCTCAAGGCGAAGGCTGAAGCGGAAGCCAAGCAAGCTGAGGAGCTTAAGCAAAAGAAGCAGGAGGCCGAAGCCAAGGAGAAAGAGAAGCAGGCTGAGCAGGACAAGCAAGCCAAGACCAAGAAAGAGGCTGAGGAGAAGCAAGCCGCTGAAGCCAAGGCCAAGCAAGAAGCCGAAGTCAAGGCTAAGCAAAAAGCCGAAGCCAAGGCCAAGCAAGAAGCCGAAGCCAAGGCCAAGCAAGAAGCCGAAGTCAAGGCCAAGCAAGAAGCCGAAGTCAAGGCCAAGCAAAAAGCCGAAGCCAAGGCCAAGCAAGAAGCCGAAGCCAAGGCCAAGTCTGATGCTGAAGCCAAAAAGCAAGCTGAGAAGGCCGAGGAGGACGAGGCCCAAGCCCAAAAGGCGAAGGTCAAGAAATCCGAAGCCGACGAAGCCTCCAAGGTTGAAGCTGAACAAGCCGAAAAACCAGCTGACGAGGCCAAGTCCGAGGAGAAGAAAAAGAAGAAGGTGACCAAGCGGAAGGACTCGGCCGCCAAGTCGGTGAGTGAAGCCGAGGCCAAGTCGATCCAGGAGGAGAAGGCTGAAGCTGAGGCCAAGCTGATTGAGAAGGCCAAGGAGGAGAAGGCGGAGGCCAAGAAGAAGGAGGCTGATGCTCAGGCCAAGTCCAAGGCTGAAGCTGACAAGAAGGAGGCTGAGGCTAAGAAACAAGCCGAAGCCAAAGCAAAAGTTGAGGCCGAGGAGGCCAAGAAGAAGCAGGAGGCTGAAGCCAAGGCCGCTAACGATCAGGCTAAAAAGGATGAGATGGCCAAGAAGGAGGCCGAGGTTCAAGCGCAAAAGCAAGCTGAGGAAGCGAAGAAGAAGGAGAAGGCAAAAGCTGAGGCTGAGGCAAAGAAAAAGGCCGAAGCCGAAGAAGCCAAGCAAGCCGAAGCCACAAAGTCGGCTAAGAAGGAGGCCGAGGTCAAGGCCAAGGCGGAAGCAGAGAAAGCCGAAAAAGAAGCCAAGGCTAAGAAGGAGGCCGAGGTTCAAGCGCAAAAGCAAGCTGAGGAAGCGAAGAAGAAGGAGAAGGCAAAAGCTGAGGCTGAGGCAAAGAAAAAGGCCGAAGCCGAAGAAGCCAAGCAAGCCGAAGCCACAAAGTCGGCTAAGAAGGAGGCCGAGGTCAAGGCCAAGGCGGAAGCAGAGAAAGCCGAAAAAGAAGCCAAGGCTAAGAAGGAGGCCGAGGAGAAGGCTAAGCAAGCCGCTGAAGCCAAGGTTAAAGCTGAGGCTGAGGAGGCCAAGAAGGAGGCTGAGACTCAAGCTAAAAAGCAAGCTGAGGACGGTAAGAAGAAGGAGGACGAGGTCAAGAAGTCCAAGAAGGCCGAAAAGGCCAAGACGGAGGACGAGGAGAAGGCCAAGCAAGAAGTAAAGTCCAAATCCGAAGCCGCCGAGGCCGAGCAAGTCGCCAAGGCCAAGATCGAGGAGGTCAAGGAAGAGCCGAAGCCCGAAAAGCCAAAGAAAAAGAAGGCGGCCAAGAAGGACGAGACCGAGGAGGTCAAGCCCCAGGAACTTAAGCCAGCCGAGCCGAGCAAGACCAAGAAGGAGGCCGAGGTCAAGAAGGAGCCCGAGCCCAAGCCAAAACCCCAGCCTGTAGTTGAAAAGAAACAATCGGATACCCGGATGACGAGTCGTGAGACGAGCCCCAGTGGGGATAAGAAGAAAAAGGTGCCTCACCCCCCTCGTGATCCCCGATGAGATCCATTCCCGTTTTGGCGACCCGAGCACCCTCCATTCCGAGACTAACATCACCACCACTGTCACGGCGCGCGACGGCAGCGCTGAGGTGAGTACGGGGGAAAACATATAGTGGGATCCTAGACCTACGCTAGGCTGAGGCTTAGACTTGGCTTAGGCTTAGGCTTAGGCTTAGGCTTAGGCTTAGACTTAGGCTTGGGCTTAGGCTTAGGCTTAGGCTTAGGCTACCTAGGGCTGTTGGAGAGGATGCGCTCCGATGGGGACTTATATACCTACTTTTTTCTTTTTACAAAATTCCACAGGTTTTATGCCCGCGGCGAGCCGGTTTTATAGAATTTAAAGGAGAGATGGATTGCCTCATTAAATTGACAGCATTTTGGAACATACCAAAATTGGCCAAAACACATTTTTTTTTTTGGTTCTGGACAGCCGGTTAATTTTAACGATCAATAGTACGAGTAACAAGGCTGGATTACAGTATCTTTAAAAAGGTTATAGCTCGATTCAGCAGCATTAAACCCCGATTTATTTTTGTGAAAATTCCCGAACTTTGATGACAATTCAAGTATTATAAGGAAGCAGAGGCAGTCGGCTTTCCCTTACATCAGAAGATTTTGAGTGACTATCTCGTTAGGCCGTTATCTTTTTCCTGACGTCAGAAGATTGTCGGAAACATATTTTTTTATTTTAACGAGACGAGTGCCATCAGTCATAGTTGTCTTCAGTCTTTTTTCTTCATCAGTCTTTCCATTGACGAAGTGACAGCCCCTTACACATCTATTTTTCTTTGTTTTCTTTTACCAAAATTCCAAAAATCTTATAGAATTTAGAATAGCAGCGATCGTCCGATTAGGTTGACAGCTTTTTTGAGCATGCCAAAATTGGCGGAAACACATTTTTTTATTGCTTCCGCCGTTTAATTGTAGGATCAATAGTACGAATAGGAAAGGCTGGCAATAATTACAGTAGCTTTAAAAAGGTTATAGCTCGATTCAGCAGCATCAAACAACGATTTATTTTTGTGAAAATTCCCAAACTTCTGACATGTAAGATAGCGCATCGGATCACATTAGACTGATCGTTTTTCCTGACATATGGAAAATTCTCGGAAACACATTTTTTGAAATTTTGTTGGGATTGCCCAATTAATTTTCACAGTCACATACGTGTAAGAAAAGGTGGCCGTGCTTTAAAAAGGTTGTAGCTCGATTTTTTTTTGTATTAACAAAATCCCAACGGTTTAATATGTCATTTAGCTTTTCCTCAGGTCCCAAAAATTTCAGAAACATTTTTACTTTTTTTCTGGGCTGCCCGATTAATTTAGGAAAACGAAAGACTAGTTATGTTATAGTATTTAAAAATACCATATATATTTTCGATGGATTCCTATATATCGTGTGTCAAAACCCCCATGATTTTCCACCAAAAACCCGATCACCACCATAACGATCACGTTTTACCCTGAAATTTGAAAATCTCCCGTGTTGCAAAAATCACCTGAAAATAATCGAGGTGTGCGTGCGATTTTTCCTCTACTAGACAAAAATGAAGCACCTAAAACGATTTTTCAAAAACGTAAAAATGCAAGAAAATAATTTTTTTTGTCTGATACCAAAGCTGGATTATTCCCTACAAACAGGAAAAACCTTCCCTAACCCCTGAAACAATTTAAAAGCACGTTTTTAGGTGCTCTCCCCGGTGAAGCAGCCGCAGTCGGCGAGCATCGTGAAGACGGTCCGCTCGCGCACTTCTACGCCCGTAGAAGGCGCTGAATTCACGCTGGAGCAGCCGGCGCAGGCCGGCCAAGCCGCGCAAGACGCTGAAGCCGAAGCGAAGGTGACCAGGAAGTCGAGGAGGGACGGGCTGCCCCCATTGCCCAGTGAAGCCGATAAAGCCAAGCCGAGGGCTGATGCTGAGGAGGCTGAGGCTAAGAAGCTGGCTGAGGAACAAGCTGAAGCTGAACAGGCTTTGGCGGAGAAGACCAAGCAGGACGAGAACAAGACGAAGAAAACGAAAAAATCCGAGGCCGAGAAGATCAAGGAGGACGAGGCCAAGGCCAAGGAGGAGGCTGAGAAGGCCAAGCAAGAAGCTGACGAAGTTAATGCCAAGAAGACGAAGAAGGCTGAGGCCGACAAGTCCAAGGAGGACGAGTTGGCCAAGAAGAAGGAGACCGAGAAGGTCAAGAAGGACGAAGCTGCTGCTCAAAAAGCTAAAGCCAAGAAATCCGAAGCCGACGAAGCCAAGGCGAAGCAGGAAGCCGAAGCTAAAGCTAAGAAATCCGAAGCCGACGAAGCCAAGGAGGACGAAGCTAAGGCTAAGAAAGCTGAAGCTGCTGAAGCCGCGAAGAAGGCGGAGGCCGAGAAGGCCAAGGACGACGAAGCTGCGGCTCAAAAAGCCAAGGCTAAGAAATCCGAAGCCGACGAACCCAAGTCGGAAGCTGAACAAGCTGCCGAGACCAAGACCGACGAGAAGAAAAAGAAGAAGGTGACCAAGCGCAAGGACTCGGCCGCCAAGTCGGTCAGCGAAGCCGAGGCCAAGTCGATCCAGGGGGAGAGGGCTGAAGCGGAGGCTACGCTGGCTGAAAAAGCCAAGGAGGACGAAGCCCAGGCTCAAAAAGCCAAGGTCAAGAAATCCGAAGCCGATGAAGCCGCCACGGCCGAAGCTGAGCAAGCCGAAGCCGCCCAGGCTGAAGACGAGGACCAGGAGAAGAAGAAAAAGAAGAAGAAGGTCGCCAAGAAGTCCGAGTCGCAGGTTGGACTTGACGAGGCCGGCGAGGCTTCTGAAGCTGTACAACATGCTGAAGAAGCCGAGGCTGTAGCTGAGCAAGCCGAGCCCGAGAAGAAGCTGAAAAAGAAGAAGAAGGCCGCCGAGAAGTCGGACGAGACGGCTTCTGAAATCTCGGAGATTCCAGAGGCCGAAGAAGCTGATCTCAGCGACGCCGACAAGGTCAAGGAGGTCAAGGAGGCTGAGCTTGACGACAGTCTAACTCGTCGTAGGGGTTCCGCCGGATCTACCGACTCCTCAGGACGTCGTCGGAAGAAGCGCGAGGGCTTCGTCTCCGTACCTGACCCCAGGCTCATCGGGTTCCGCGGCGACTCCGTCAAGTTTGAGTGCGAGCTCGCGAATGAGGAGGACGAGGTGGAGTGGTTGATCAACGGCAAGCCCGCTTCAGAAGAGCCTAGGGCGAAGATCGTGAAAAAGGGCATCTTCCAGAGCCTCGTGCTCGAATCTGTTGCTCCCAAGGACCAGGGTCTGATCATCACCGGTCAACTACCGAGCGCCATCTTCGAGTCGAAGCTCGTCGTCGAGGACACGCCGGTGATCATCGAGTCCAAGCTGGCCAGAAAGTCCATCTGCAAGGCCGGCGAGGCCTACACGATCAAGGTCAAGCTCAACCACGGCACGAAGAACATCCGCTGGACCCGCGACAATGAGGTGCTCAGCGCCGACGGGGAGTACGAGATCTTCTACGACCCGGAGGACGAGTACGTGTCGCTCACCATCAAGAACCCGAGCTACAAACACGCCGGCAGGTACGTGCTCCAAGCCGGTGAGGCTGAGGTTTTCACAAACCTGGAGGTGCAGGGAGCACCAGTTTTCCCGGAGGAGGGAAGAGCTGTTGAGATTGAGGCCAACGACAACCTGGTGCTCAACCTGATCTACAAGGGAGACCCAGAACCCACCGCTGAGGTCGTGCTCAATGGAAAACCGTTGCCAAAGGAGGCCAAGGTCGAGCTCGGAGTCGTTGGGAATACAGTAAGATTCTCGAAACGCCACGCCAGCAAGGAGGACGCTGGTGACTACACCTTCACGCTGAAGAACGAGTTCGGCGAGGTATCCACCACCGTTAAGGTCAAGGTATCGGACGTACCTTATGCTCCGGAGAACCTGCAAGCAACCGCAGGCTCAGCCACCTCGGTGATGCTCAGGTGGGAAGCGCCGGAGGACAACGGTGGTGCTCAAATCACCGGGTATGTCGTCGAGAAGAAGGAGTCCGGACGCCGCGCCTTCCACCCTGTGGCTCAGACCTCTGGCTCCAGAAACAACTTTGAAGTGGAGGAGCTTGAGCCGGAGACGGAGTACATCTTCCGGGTGGCGGCGGTGAACAAATTCGGCACCGGCGAGTTCGCGGAGACGGGTACGGTATCAACATCTACAGCCTTCGAAGCCCCCACGGTTTCTGAGGCTCCCCGAATTGAGTCTCAGACCTCGGACTCAGTTACTTTGACTTGGCCAGAACCAACTCGCACTGGAGGATCGCCCATCTACGCCTACGACGTCTTCGTCAAGGAGGCCGGCAAGGAGTGGCAGAAGGCCAACGACGAAGCCTGCTTCGCCAAGAGCTTCACCGTGCCGAACCTCAAGTCCGGCGTCGGCTACAAGTTCAAGGTTGAGGCCATAAACGAGGCCGGGCTGACCTCCGACTCCAACAAGTCAACTGAAACTGTTCAGCTCCAAGGGAAACCCACCCAAAAACTGCAGATCCCCAGGATCTTTATCACGGATGTAGATGCGGTAGATGTTCATTGGGACTCGCCGTCCGACTCGGACTCTACGGGTTACACCGTGGCGTACAAGTCCGAGTCGTCGTCAGTGTGGGCCGAGGTGGAGGTTCCGCGAAGCCCCGCCCACATCACCGACCTGAAGGAGGGCATCGCGTACGTGTTCCGAGTTGCACCACGGAACGCCAATGGGACCGGAGAGTTCTCGGAGGCTAGTGCGCCGGTTAAGGTATGTATTTTTTCTTTTTTTTCTGGGGTTCTTTAAAAAATTTAGTAGTCATTAATTTGTTAAATTTACAAAGATTTAAGTGAATTAAATATTCATGCTCTAAAAATCAGTTAAAAATTCGATATGACGGATAACGATGATGACGGAATTAATAGGCGCAAACATATAAAACTCACAGTTTTTCCGAAACATATTTTTGCTTCAAAATTTTTTTGAAATTTCTTTCGTTACTTTAAACACTACAATGATTTGCGTTAAATATTACTGAAATTTTAACAAATCAATTTTTTATAAAAACAATCCAATAGCCGCACTTTTTTTTCTCTACGAGTTCCGTTGGCAGAATGCATTCGTATGAAAACCTCAAAATTCCGAATTTTTTCGAAACATCTCTTTTTAATAGCAATGTTGATAAATGCTGATGTGTGTCGTCTGCGGCGAATTAACTGATGTAAAGTATTAGGACATGAAAATGACATTGAAAAATGAATACGGTAGCCTTTTCGCCAACGAAAGAATTAGCAAGTGCAAAAATTCTAAAACCACGAGTGTTCTCGAAATATCTTTCTTCGTATTAACTTCTATTTGGTTTAAGTTTATAGAGATTTTATTTTGCTAAATAAGCCAAGCTCAAAAATATCAGTTGAAAATTCGGTATACTCATTACGACCGGCGCCGAATTATTAGGCGCAAAAATCCTGAAACTCGCACTTTTTTCGAAACATTTCTTTTCAAGGCAAACATGTGTTGGCTACAAAATTATGAACGTACGTTCATAGGATACAATTAAAGGCCAAATACAATGTCTGTAGAAGTAGCCGTGGAAGGATTCAGATACTTAAATTAGTCCGTTTTGAAAAAGCTAATGAAAAATTAAGGTATCAGTCATCTCGAGAAAAAGTGCTGCGAGTTAGTGCGCAAAATAATCCTGAAATCCCCTTTTTGTCGAAACATCTTCTTACCGCACGATTTTTTAGGACTTTAGGCTTGCAATCTCTCAACGATCGAAATCGTTAAATATTAAATAAAATTATTTTAAATTAAATTGTTCGCGTTTAAAAACCGCCCGTCGTTTAAAATCGATCTGTCCGAAACTAGCATGCGAAAAAATCCTAAACTCTGAATTTTTCAAAACATCTTTTTTCAAAAAAATTTTAAAATTTGCTTTTTTCGAATTGAACTTTATAAAATAATATATTTGAATTTTAATCATGAATTAGAAATAAACAATTTTTAGGTCGCCCTCGAAGCCGCGCCGCAAATCATCAAGGCGCTGAAGGACGTGAACATCCCGAAGAAGGGCGATTTGCATCTGGAGTGCCACGCCTCGGGAGAACCGGCTCCTGAATACATTTGGTACAAGGATGATGAAGAATTTGTCCCAGCCGATGATCGAACCGAGATCCTCTGCGAGGGCCACATGTCGGCGCTCAAGATCCACAAGACCAAGGAGTCCGATGCCGGCAAATATACATGCCAGGTGAGCATAAAAATCGATTATCAACCAACGCGAGAAATTTTATTATTAGTTTCAATTTTTAAACGTTATTAGATGCTATTTGAAACGCAGAAAAACCTGAAAACCTAGATTTCTGTAAAATGGCTTGCTAGATTGGACGGCAAATTTTAAAGACTGCAAACCGCTTAATATGTGATTTGAACAAACAGGCTATTGTATACAAGTTGAAGCATTTTTTGAAGATCCAAAGATCCAAAGTAATTTTGAATTTGAGAAATCTTCATTTTTCTAGTTCAAATGTTTAAAGTTTTTTTAATTTAACGTTGCCTGTCAATGAGCCGAAAAATAGAGTATTATCTAGTAAAAAATTCCATTATTAACAAGTATTTTTAAATGCTATTTATGTTAATTGAAACATATAAAATGTTGTAAAATAGTTTTCACCAAAAAGCCTAGCCAACTTATGAGCACGATTTTTAAATGCTATTAGATATTAACTGGAACATGCAAAATGTAGAAAAATCGAAAACTTTTAAAGTTGTTTGCGAAAATCGTAAAATAGGTTATCCAGATAGCTAAAGGGAAGCTATTATGAATACGTTTTATAAAATGTTGTTATATTTTCAATGAAACATGCAAAATGCCGAAAAAAGTTAAATATTTGAAACGACCCTTGAGTTAGTGAGTGACTTAAATAAACAGGCTCTTCTATATTAATTGAAACATTTTTCCATTTTTCGCTGAATCATTTTTAAATTTTTAAAAATTGCGTGTTTGTAAATCAGCTTTTTAAAACGTTGTGAAATTCAACGTTGAGTGCCAGGCGAGCTTAAAAATAGATTACATAACGGCGTCGAAAGGACGTCCATTACTGAAATACATCTTAAAAGGGGTTAAATGTGAATTGAAACATTTAATTAGTCCATCGAAAAATCTAAAGATTTGCTTTAAAAAAGAAAACGTCCTATAATTCCTCGCTCTAACATTCTCCAATCATAATATGTATTTGAGAATTTGTGAGAATCAAAACTGAGGTAATTTGTGGTATCTGGTACACAGATGGTTATTACATTTCTAACATGAGAAAGCCTTTGTAGAATACTTGAAACATATAACCTTCGGAAGAAAAGCCCAAATTTTGAATTTTTTTTAATTCTTTACTTCCCAGATGGTTTACAATTCATAAAAATGTAAAAGTTTAAAGAATATAAGATCGGATTCCTGTCTGCAAGTCAGTTCCGCAACGTCGAATTTAAAAATGCAATTTTTTTTGGGATAAATTGTTTCCAAATTGTTGCGGGCAGCTACGCCCTTTGCTTCGTTAATCGAAACGATGCGGATTCTCTGTCATAATCCCGATAGCCTAAGTCCCGACCATAAAATGCCGACAGGAAAAATCCAGGCACATTTTTCACGTTAATTTGACGCCCACTCCTTTTAAATAGCTATTTTGGCATTCGGGATTCTCGCCTGTCGGGATTTCGTTCTGTCGGGATTTTAGCCTGTCGGGATTTTGACTTTCGGGAATTTTGTTGTCGGCATTTTGATGTTTTCCCGAAAATCGCGAAATGGCGAAAGCAAAATTCATATAGTTCTACGAAATATTTACTTTATGAACCTGACGACTGTAGGTATTAACTGGTTTCATCGGCAAATCCATTAGTTATTTTACGAAACATTTTTTTTGCAAACAATTTCGTAATTTGCTAATTTTAAAAATAATTAAAAACCCAACTTTTTTGTAAAATAATTTTTATTTGCCGTTTTTAGGTGGCCAACTCGAGCGGAAAAACCGAATCCACATCTCGGGTGACGATCGGTGACGTGAGGGCCCACTTTGAGCGCTCATTCTCCGAGGAGACGATCGTCGAAGAGGGGGCGGACATTGTACTGTCGTGTACGCTGTCCGACGCTGATGCTCAGGTCAACTGGTTCAAGGGTAAGTGATTATGGAAATTAAGGGAGGTAATGATAGAAATGCGTAGCGTATAAACAAAAACGTAGCTCTACGTACTTACAAAAACGTACACGCGTACAAAACGTAAAGCGTACGTACGCAAAAATTTCGAAGGTAAACTGGTGTAAATCGAGTTTACGACCGATTGTCACCGAGGCTTAATCAGCTCTAGCCGAATTTTTACGAAACATTTTATATCAATTTTCTTAATTTCACTAATCCTTAATTTTGATTAATTTTTTAATCCAATAGTTATAAATTTAAATAAGTCCGCTTGTCAAAAATGCACTCAAAGTTTAAATTCTCCTGCTTAACAATACATGTTTTAATGAAATTACCTCTTTAAAAAATTGCCGGAAAATTAATTAATGAAATTTTCGGCCGAAACCTGCCTCGAATCACAATTCCTAAATACAATTAATTTGAAGTTATTTTGAAATTGAATTAATGTTAATTGAAAACCAATTAGTTCGCAATTTGATTTACAACGAATTCTAACTAACTGTGGTAATTTTGATATTAATCGCTGAAAAATAGATTGTTTCACGAAAAACGCCTTCGAAAAATATTATTGCGTGATTAATCTCAGCTGCTCAGTTGCGCAGGCAGTCTGTCTATAAAAAAAAACGAGACACGCCGTCGCTCTAAAGATGAACGTCGCATTTAAATTTATTTTTTAAAGTAGCAATCTTAAATCAACAGATTTTGAAAATTGCGATATTTTCGGAGACCCTTAAAAATCAGTTATTTCACTAAAAACACCTTTCAAAAAAATTGCTAAAGGTTCATTTCCATTTTGTCTTGATATAACATAATATTAAAATTTATATTTTAAACCCGTGATCATAAATACAAGAATTTGGCTTCCAAAATCTGTAAAAATAATTTGTTTCAACCAAATTACCTTCCGATCGGCATGCGAAAAATGTAATGGGATGACAAAAGGCATTCTGACTAAATCCATAAAAACCATAAACTTAAAACTTACACGGCCCTTTAAAGATGGCCGCCGCCTCGCCGTCTCCGAACGCATTCAAATCGAGCAGCGCGGAGCGGATCGCACGCTTGTCGTCAAGAAGGCCACCCTCCAGGACGCTGGCCATTACCGGTATTTTTTACTAGCATCTTTTGACGATTTTAAACAATTGTTACCGCCAAACATTTCCGAACTATATAATTCTTTGAAACATATTTTTTTTATATTTTAATATTAGAAAACATATTGTAAACTCGCGCGCTGGCCGTTACAAATTAATTGCCGAACCCAGCGGAATTAGTAATGCCAAAAATTTTCTGAATTATTCATTTCGATGAAACATATTCCCCGCCCATATTTTCTCAGTTTCACAAACGCTGGACATCAGATTTTTAAAGTCAGGAACATCAGCCAACCCTCGACGACTAGCAATACCAAAAATTCGCGAGTTATAAAATTTTTTGAAGCAGGTTTTTGCAAAAAAATCCTGAATTTAAGGAGGTTTTGAAATTTTTCTATTTTTGATATTGACAATGCATTAATAGGTTTTCCGGATGCAAATTTTGTATCAGGAGATTTGAAAACGCATTTTTACATAGAACTGGACGGTTTTTATGTCAATAATTTTTGCAGTGCTTGGGCTTGTTTTTCCGTAGTACAAATTGAGATGAAACACACACATGTTGTATTAGGGCGGAAAACGGCTTTTATTTTGGTGTATGAATAGTATTAAAATAATTGCTACCATAATACTTCTACCGTAGACGTAAAATAGATTAGTAGCAATAATAGAGAATATAGATATTTAATGTGGATTCCGGAATGTTCAATCATTTGTCATTGAGTGTGGAGCGTCCACGATTAAGTGCCTTAATTTTTGCGTAACCATAATTTCGGACGAAACATTTTTACAAATTGGCTGGATTATTAGTAAGATTTATAGTTTATCTTTGTCCAAAATGAATATTAGTTTTCAAACTGAAAAAAATGCTAGAAAATTGTCATGGTGACAATTTTTCAACTTCATGATTTCTGCAAGTACCTTCTTGGCAATTAACAAGGTTCCATTTTTTGTTCCACCGCACGCCGAGATAAAACATAAATTTTAAAGGCATAGGGATATTTAGCATTTGGACTTTGAAGCCCTATCCATAGCCTTCAGCCTCTATGCCTGGTAATACGCTAATCTTTCACATGACGGTAAGACAAAGTAGTGCTTTTTGAAAGAGAGAGAGACAAAGACTTTTTTGAAAATGTAGTACGTTAGTTGATGCACTGCGCCGAAAAAAGTTGCATTGATCATCTCAGTTTTTGCGTAACACTAGCTATGGTAGAAACATTTTTTAATTAACTGATAATTAATGAATTTTGGTTTTGTGGCAATTTTTAGGTCTAGATTCTTTTAGACGCAGTAAATTGTCCAAATCGCTTATGCATCGAAAAATTGTATTTTGATATGCGAATAAAATCGGCACGTAGCAAGAAAATATTAAATCAGCACCAGTTCCCATTCAACGAGGCAGCATTAACGGCTTGAATTTTCAATTTTTACTATTAAAGTCAAGAAACATATTCTTTTGCGTAATCGAATGTAATTTTAGATCTGTATTAAAACTACTAAACAATTAAATTGTATCTAAAGCATCGAAAAATTGTATTTTCAGGTGTGAAACAACAGACGAGCGTAGCCGTGCCGAGGGCGCGGTTACGGTAAAGGAAGAGGAGGCCCACATCCAGATCGGCCCTCAGGACCAGGAGATCCAGAACTTTGGCGAGACCGTCACGCTGGCCTGCCAGCTGACGAAGCCCATCCGCCGCGCCAAGTGGTTCAAGAATGGCCAGGAAGTTTGGCCGCAGTTGAATAAGGTGAATTAAAATTCCATTTTATATAGATATTTATTTGATATTTATTATTTTAAATAAATTGGCATAACGTCCTCGCGAACTATAAGTGAAAAAAAATATCTTCTTTTAAGATTGAATGAAACAGATTTTTTTACAAAATAATTTGAGCTTTCAAGCCATTGCCTATTTTAATTACATATAAAAGTTGGAATGCTTTAGCCGTATTTGAAAGTAATAATATGGCTGCCAATGTACTTTCAAATTCACAAACTTGCCAAAAAATGTTTCATAAAAAAACTATACCAATTTCACAAAGTACGGCTCCAATTATTTCACCGCATCTTTGAAAAGCTGATATTTTAATAAAGTTAAATCCGGTATTTGAGAAAATACTAGGATTTTGCGATTTGCTTTGCTGAAAAAGTGCCTTTTAAATGATTTTCAAAATTGAATTATAAAAAACCTTAGAAGCGGAGGGTTAACAGGAGCAAAGTAATTTTTCCGGACATTTTTGCCATTAAAACATTTATAATTTAATGGAAAATCAAATCGAAATAATTGACGAATTGACGAGACGAGGATACACTGAAAAAAAATGATTTTCCGCCAAGAAAAGTTTTCTTAATCTATTTTCATCGCGAACCATTAATGCCAAAAAAAATTTCTTTATTTTAAGATTGAATGAAACAGATTTTTGCAAAAAAAATATTTTTTAGGTTTTGAAGCCATTGCCTACTTTTATTAAATAGAAAAGTTGGAAAGCTTTAGTCGTATTTGAAAGTAATAATATGGCTGCCAATGTAATTCAAAATTCACAAAATTGTCAAAAAATGTTTCATAAAAAAACTATGCCAATTTGACAAAGTACGGCTCTAATTGTTCCATCCTACAGGGTGTCCCAAAAAAAATCCCCCCCCCCCCTAGCCGACCGCAGACGTGTCCGATTTTTACGATTTAGGTATCTATCGAAAGCTCTCGGAAAGGCGAGTCCAGCACGTCTCTCCGATTCTTAAAATTTTTAAATTTTTCTATCATTTACTAATGTTTTTTGCGAAATGCGCGGATTTTCTGATGTTTTTCTGACCAAGGTGTTTTTTTACAAAAATCGCGATTTAAGGATTTTTTACGCCTTTTCTGGCAGCCCAACGACAGCTCTTTAAAAGCGGTTCGCGAAAACACAGCTTGCATAGCGCTTAAACCGGTTAAACTGCGTTTTGGACGAAAAAGCATGTCCTTCTTGCCTGAAAAATGCCGAAAATCGAGCGAAAAATTCCGACATTTCGAAAATCGGCAAGACGTGCTGGACTCGCCCTTCCGAGAGCTTTCGATAGATACCTAAATCGTAAAAATCGGACACGTCTGCGGCCGGCTAGGGGGGGGGATTTTTTTTGGGACACCCTGTATATTTGAAAAGCTGATATTTTAATAAAATTAAATCCGGTATTTGAGAAAATACTAGGATTTTGCGATTTGCTTTGCTGAAAAAGTGCCTTTTAAATGATTTTCCGAATTGAATTATAAAAAACCTTAGAAGCGGAGGGTTAACAGGAGCAAAGTAATTTTTCCGGACTTTTTGCCATTAAAACATTTATAATTGAATCGAAAATCAAATCGAAATAATTTACGACCTGACGAGACGATGATACACTGAAAAAAATGATTTTCCGCCAAGAAAAGTTTTCTTAATCTACGAAATAGGAAAGAGTCAATACGGCGCCTGGGTTTTTGTGGAGACGTAATGAAAATTCAACATGCTTTTTTTGAAAACTTCAATATCATTAAATTTTCTGTAAATATAAAATAGCTCGAAACACTTCAGCGGCAGAATTAGTATTGTATTAAATTTTTGCTTAAATTTTAGATAGCCACGAAACATCTTTTTTTGCGACGTTTAGGTATTTTAAAGCCATATAAATTCCTTCAATATATGCTGATCGTGCCAATTATGGGTGAATTTCGGCTTATTTTGAAAATATCGAAATTTGATAATGTCGATATTTCATAATGTCGAAATTCCGAATGTTGAAATTTACCTACGCCGATATTCCCGGTGAAACCCCCCAAATCCTATGCTAATTTCGACATTCTGAATTCCGAAATTTCGACATTTTGCATTTGACATTACTATTTGATTAAATTTGTTATATCCGGTTTTAAATGGTCTCTTCCATGAAACATTCTATTTTTTTCAGGTGCACATGGCCGTCGAAGAGCGCACGGCCACGCTGCAGATCCGCAACTTTGACAAGCACGACGTCGGCGAGTACACCGTGTCGATTTCCGACACCGAGAAGAGCGCCCCGGCCACCGTAACCCTGAACGTGCGACCGATTATCACACTCCCGGAAGCCCTCGACCGTCCAGAGGTGCAGGCCGTAGCTGGAAAGGAGTTCGACTTTGCCGCTGAGTTTGCCGGAAGCCCCGAGCCCACCATCAAGGTCAGAAATTTTTGCGTTCAAATCTGAATTTAATTTAACTAAATTTTTAATTTTTAGTGATTTTAAATGAATCTGCAAAAAAGACAGCCGGCAGTTAATTATTTTACAAAGCACTATTTAAAATCAAATATTGAATGGAACATCTTTTTTTTTAACTATGCAAAGACAAAATGACTTAAAACTACATTTTAAATTTTAATAGCTATGATTATAGACAAATTGCGAGAGCAAAAGCATCGGATAAATTAAATTTATTTTAAATTGATCGAGTACTCAACGGTAAAAATTCCTACTTTGCCTTCAACGGCCCTTTACAACATTTCTGAATTGCTTTGATAGCCAGAAGCATTACCCCGAGTCAGGGGCGTAGCCAGAAAAAAAATTTCGGGGGGGGGGGGGCCGAAAAATTTTTTTCGAAAAACTCAAAAAAATTAACGAGAAAACAGCGCCGCAGGCGAAAAATTTTGGAAAAAAGGCTATGTAGATCTACAAATAGCATCAAAAACGTGAAAAAAATAGCGCCCTTATGAAATTTTCGGGCCCCGGCCGATTTCGGGGGGGGGGGGGGCCCCGGGCCCAGGGGGCCCACCTTACGCTACGTCCCTGCCCCGAGTTAAATTTTTTCCGGATCCCACATTTCGAAAACACACTTTTCTTCACAAAAAAATGGTTTGCGGATATCGAGCAAATAATTTGCGAACATACCGTATTATCGCTATTATCGGTCTAAGCCATCAGTGCTTCTTTGCTTTTTTCTACACAAAAATTCCAGGCGTAGATTTTTGCTGCTTTACAAAGATAGACGAAACGGTCGTAATGGTTAGGAAATTTTGTTGAAGAACGTTTTTTTGATGCAACATGAAAATTTCAAAAGATCAAAACTACCTAACTTTTAATGATTATTTTGGAGATAATCATATCTATCATATCTACTAGAAATGAATAAAATAATTAACAAGAATAGCAATATATTTTCAAAACCCCGAACAAAAAATAGCATTGTAATACCTCATTAAAAACTCCCGGCAGTCTATATAATAAGGCACGAACATTTTTCTATATATAATTATAATTTATAATACATAATTTTATAAAAATCATAAAACAACTGATTTTTCTCAAGCTTATCAATTGAAGGTATGCCAAAATGGCGAAAATCTGAAATGGTACTCTGTCTCTAAATATTCAAAAAACCATAAAAATAAATTCTTTTAAATTTTTAAAAAATTGAAAAATATCAAATAATTATCAGAACTTAAAGATTTGAATTATACAAATCAACTATACAACGATAATATTATCTATTTAAGGTCTACCACAACGGGCAGCCGATATCCCTGTCCGGCGCCGAGGTCGACAAGTACGAGGATACCGTATCGATTCGGATGAAGCACCTAAAACGCGCTGATTCCGGCGAGATTCGCATCGTCGCGAGCAACGAGTTCGGTGAGACGACGAAGACGATCAATCTGAACGTCATCGACGCGCCGTCGGCCCCGTTGAATTTGGTCGCTTTCCACACGACTACAAACTCCACATGTCTTTCGTGGGAGGCCCCAGAACACTCGAATGGAGCCCCGATCACCGGATACGTCATCGAGAGACGACAGGTAATTTATAGCGGATCAATGGTATCACAAGAATTAACAAAAAAATGTAGAAAAACCTTCGAAATTTTTTAAAAATTTTGGTTGACATTTTCCTATAATCAAAAGGGTTGATGGATTTTGCAAGAAAACGGCAGATTGGTAGCTAGCAGAATCTCCTAATACCGACAATTAAAAAAACGATAATTTGTGGGACAATGTTTCAAAAATTGCTAAAAAAAATGTCCTTTTTATTATAGCTCGTGAATTCTGTTCCAAAGCCGGCTCCAATTAAAAAATGTGCGCTGAGGCTAGCTTCAGATTGTGAATTTTGTATAACGAAGAAGAAAAAAAGTGTTTTAAAGAAATTACGCAGTCGCGGCCAAAGACTCGATCGTTCCCAGAAAAGTCAAAACATTTTTAAAAAAGCGTGTTTCATGAAAAGGATGCAGTCACGTTAATTTTTAATATTTAATCTCATCCATATATCTTCAAAAATCCTGAACGTTCGTTAAAATTGGCAGGCAAAACCAAACTTGGGCGCCAATTCTCTGACTATGACTGCGTGCGAAGGCATAAATAATCAGTTCTTTCGCATTATCGTGGGAAAAATCCACAACTTTTCAAAGTCATGCTTCGGGCGAAAGATCAATATTTTTGGGTTTTTAATAAAGATTTCTGAAGTTTTTCATGTTTAGTGATAGTAAAAATCATCGTAGAAAAGCTTCCTCTATTTAGATTAACAAAAATTCGCAAAATTGTTCCCTCCGATAATGCAAAAGTGCCAAGTAATAACACTTTGCAGGTGGAGCACGACCGGTGGAGAAACGTAGGCCGAGCTCGGCCTCACCATTTGACGTTCGAGGACCTCGATCTTTTCTCGAATGAGCTGTACACATATCGTGTACTTGCTGTAAATGACGTCGGCACTGGACAACCATCGAAACATCTGGATGTCTATTCACTTGACGATGAGGCTGAAGAAGAAGGAGACGAGAGGGATACTGTCGTTGCTCCTACTCAAGAACTTGGAACTCCCAATGCACCATATGTTGAAGTCGATGGAGCCAAGGTAAGCTAGCAGAGATCATTTGGGATGAGAGAGAGGGGGAAGGGGCAGGCTAGCAGAGATCATTTGGGATGAGAGAGAGGGGGAGGGGGCAGGCTAGCAGAGATCATTTGGGATGAGAGAGAGGGGGAGGGGGCAGGCTAGCAGAGATCATTTGGGATGAGAGAGAGGGGGGAGGGGGCAGGCTAGCAGAGATCATTTGGGATGAGAGAGAGGGGGGGAGGGGCAGGCTAGCAGAGATCATTTGGGATGAGAGAGAGGGGGAGGGGCAGGCTAGCAGAGATCATTTGGGATGAAAGGGAGGGGAGGGGCAGGCTAGCAGAGATCATTTGGGATGAGAGAGGGGGAGGGGCAGGCTAGCAGAGGTCATTTGGGATCAGAAGGGGCTTTTAGTGGATTTCCCTGATTTTTACAATGCGATCATGAACAAAAAAATAGTACCAAAATAATATTAAAATTGGCCTAAAAATTATTTGAAACATCATTTCTCGAAAATGCGATATTTTGATTTGTTTTTAGCTACCCCGGTTTGGGCTATTTTTATTTCTTGGAAGTTATGAAAGCCATAAAAATGTATAATAAATCAAATTTTCCTGAAATTTGAATTGAATAAACGACCTTGCCAACTTTCCTAAAAATTTTAGTTTTGTTGCAGGAACGTGCCCGATTATCTAAATCGATGCAAAATTGGTGCCACGCTTACTTGAAACATTTGATTTGCTAAAGAAATCGCATACAAAAATTTTATATCATGCTCACATCCCCTAATTTAAAACCTAAAACCGACAGCGCCGATTTTTAATATTATATTCAAACATTTTTCGAGAAATTTAATTTTTTGTCAGTTTAAAAAAAGTTTTTAAAACGAAGGAAAACCAAGAAGTAGTGCCTGAAGTGGAGTCAAAGCAGGCTAAAGCTTTCTTGAAGCAGTGAATTTAGAAACATAACGTAAATAACCGTGTCTCAAAAATAATTCCATCTTTTGCATATGATTTGCGCCAGAAGGGAGTGCAAGTGCCCAAATATTAATAAAATTATCCTAGGTATTTATTGAAACATTAAATTGAAAAAATTTGTTTTCTGAAATTAAGAAAGTAAAAAAGTGTTTTTCTGGTTAATCTCTGCTTGCTAAAATTTTAAATTGTACATTCAAGCATATTTTCCAAAAAAATTTGACATTTGTGCTACCTTTCAGATTGCAAAATATTTAAAAAAATATATAGGGGTGGAAATGGAATTGTCAGTATCTATCGTGGCGGCAAATTGGGCTCAGTCTTGATTGAAACATTATTTGTTAGGATTCATGGCAAATAAATCATATCTTTTTGGGCGACTGCCCTTGCTTAAATGTTTAATTATTTTTCCGTAATTTTTCCTTGTCTACTTTCTTTATACGTTATTTCGACCGAACAATTCGAACGTCCAGATCGTACTAGAATTATGCCAAGTCATTAGTAAAATATTAAATTTAAAAAGTGAAACATACCAAATTTTAAATGCATTGCAAACAGCTCCCAAAACTCTAAATTTAGCAAGTTTTAAAATGAGCAATAAGAACTACTGAACGTACGTTCAAAATGTTCAAAATGCAACGTCGTACGGATGCGCCATTCTCCAAAATGGTGGCAAATTGACCTAAAGCTTTTTCGAAACATCACATTTTTATACAAAACCGAACTTTTCAGGTGCACCTCAGCTGGTCGGCCGTCCCCGCCGCCCAGTTCTACCGTATCGAGCGGAAGCCGGCCGGAACCGGAGCCTGGATTGAGCTTGCCACCACGGACCGTCTGAACTACACGGACAGGACAATTTCTGACGATGACGACTTCGTCTACAGAATTGTGGCGCTTGGCGATTCTACCATCTCCCCGCCCAGCGATTCCTCGGTCTCTGTACGCGTTGAAAAAGTTGAAGAAGAGAAGCCGACCTGGTCCGTGAAGCCGGAAGCTGAAGCTGCTCAAGAAGAAGCCGACGACCTCAAGAAGGTCACCGCTGGCGTTGAGGAAGCAGAATCTGGAAAGAAGAGACGACTGAAGAAGAAAGGACAAGCGGAAGCTGTAGAAGATCAAGTTTCTGAAGCTGCTCAAGCCGAAGAAGCAGCTGCAAAGCCATCTGAACTTGTTGAAGTCGCCGTCGCTGACGGCGATGCCAAGAAGAAGGCCAAGAAGGTGGTGAAGAAGAAGAAGACTGAAGATATGAGCTTGGCAAGCGAGGAGGCTTCTGAAATTTCTGAAGTTTCTGAGGCTTCTGGAGCTTCTGAAGCTGTTCAAGCCAAATCAAAGGCTGAAGCTGAAGTTGAACAAGCCGAGAAGAAGGAGGCCGACTCCAAGAAGGCCAAGAAGGATTACAAGGCCAAGCAAGCCGAAGCCGAAGTCGAAGCCAAGCAAGCCGAGGCCGAAGCTGCGCAAATCCAAGCTCAGGCTCAGGCTCAAGCCCAAGATACCGAAGCCGCCGACGCCGCCAAAGCCAAGAAGAAGGTGGTCAAGAAGAAGAAGAGCGAGGTTGAAAAGCCCGAAGCTCAGGCTGAAGCCGAAGACCAGGCCAAGGAGGTTGAGGCCAAGTCAGCCAAGCAAGAAGCTGAAGCCGACAAGTCCAAGGGGGTCAAGGCAAAGCACGAAGCCGAGGCCAAGACAAAGGCTGAGGAGACGAAGAAGGAGGAAGAGAAGGTTCAAGCTCAGGCTCAAGCCGAAGCTAAGAAGGAGGCCGAGCAGCAAGCCAAGGCTGAAGCTGAACAAGCCAAGAAGAAGGAGGAGGCCGAAGCTAAATCCAAAGCTGAGGAAGCCAAGAAAACCGAAGCAAAGAAGGCTGAGGCCGAGAAGACCAAGAAGGAGGCTGAAATGAAGAAAGCTGAGGAAGCTAAGAAATCCGAAGCCAAGGCCAAGAAGGACGCCGACGACGCCAAGAAGGTCGAGGAAGAGAAGAAGAAGGCTGAAGCTGAACAGGCCAAGAAGAAAGAAGCCGACGCCAAGAAGGCTGAGGTCGAGAAGTCCAAGAAGGAGGCCGAAGCCAAGAAAGCCGAGGAAGCCAAGCAAGCCGAAGCCGAACAAGCGGCGAAGAAGAAGGTCGACAAGTCGAAGAAGAAGGACCAGCATGAAGATGAACAATTGACGAAGCAGAAGGAGGCGTTGAAGCCTGTTGACAAGAAGAAGAGGGATTCTCAAGATGAAGCCGGAACCGCTTCAGAAGCTGGCACGGCTGAATCGGTGACTTCTGAAGTCGAATCGAAGATGTCAGAAGAAGGAGATGAAGCCAAGAAGCTGAAGAAGAAGACGAAGAAGGCCGAGTCGGAGGTGTCGCAGGCTGAATCTGGAGAGAAGACGGAAGATGAGGAGAAGAAAAAGAAGAAGAAGGCCAAGAAGCTGGATGCCAAGGTGGGTTTTGCATTTCGACACGTTAACTATCGGCGTAGACAACCATTAATTATGTAAAAAAAATCCGCGAAAACTATCATGATTTTTGAAACATTTTTCCGTATCCTGTGGCTTTAGACCCGTTTTCAAATTGAGCCAATTTAAATTAATTTAAATTAAACACAAATTTAAAAGGTTAAGAGGAAAATGTCAATTTTAAGCCATCAAGAATTATTTTCTTTTTTCGAACCATGGCCAAAAGGTATATTAGAAAAAACCAAGGCCCCGAGCAACCGTAAGAAAGCTGAAACATTTTACCAATACCTTGGGGTTCAGGAACGGATTTTAACAAGGGACTTGTTAGTTTGTAACTACCTATTTTGAACTCTGCTAGTAATAAAGCTTTGTTACCATTTCTAACCAGGATTTTTTGAAATTGTTTGAACACAAACCCCCGTCAAAAAAAGTTTGGAAAAACCAAATGTTTCCTAAAAAGTCCCAGTTTCGAAAAACATTTGCTGAAATTCAGGTGCTCTATTTTTATATTTGAAAAACAAACGTTTGATAAAAATCATCAAGCTACAATTTTTTTGGCGGCTAGGCTTAACGCTATTAACAATAGAATTCGATGTCTTGCAAATTTTGCCCAGTTTGGTAAGCGTGGATGTTTCATCTAATAAAGTTATGGAACGATGTTCTGACCCCGTGATGCAGTTTTTTTGCATAATCTATGCCTCTAAAAATTGGCCTTGAAATTAAAACTATAAATAATTTTTGGCGGAGAAGAGCAGAAAAATTAAATGTATGCCATAAATCCTCAAAATAGATTGCCAGTCGATTCAAACCTAGAATTGAAGGTATCGCGTCTTCGTTCGAACTTGAAAATTTCGAAACATTTTTTTTGTAACCTATTAAAATTTTTTTGAAGAAATGGAATCTCTTACTGTTGACGTTTGCTTTTTAATCTGCAATAATTATTTGGCGCAATGCTTTTGATAAATATATGTAACTATTTTTAGCCATAATTTTTTAAAATGTTTTGGACAAAGCCTCCGCAAAAAAAAATTGAGAAATTCTATGTTTCGTAACCATTTAAAATCTGCGAAAATGAGGCAGCTGGAATCCTTGCAAATTGTCCTCTGTCAAAAGTGCTACTGGCCTTTTGGCAATTTTAAGATTAGAGTTTTACAAAGTCAGCAAGCTACATTGTTTTGAGAGGCGTTTTGAGAAGCGTTGCCCAATTTCATAAGCGCGGATGTTTCATCTAATAAAGTTACGGAACGATGGTTTAAAGCTGCATTGCATCATCTTTTTCGAAATCTTCTACGCCCCTAAAAATTGGCCTTAAATTTAAAACTATAAATAATTTTTGGCGGAGAAAACGCAGAAAACGAATTAGGAATTAAAAGTATCGTATCCTGGCTCAAACTAAAAAATCCTGAAACATTTTTTGCAAACGATAAAAATTTATTGCACAATTTATTGGCTTTTGATCCGCTAGAAAACATAATTGATGTAATTTGGAAAGCACCTAGCGAATTCTAAATAATCCGTTATTTTTAAGGTATCCAAGCGCTCGCTGAGCTTCGAGGACGGAGCCGAGGCCGAGCTGGTCGTTGAGGTGAATGAGGAGGACGTTGAAGCCGAATGGACCAGGGATGGACAGAAGCTTGACGCGTCCTACACCACGACAAATGAGAAGAACTATTGCCGTCTGAAGTTCCGGGTAAGATGAAACTACTTATTTTTTTATTAAAATCATTTTTCGAATCCACTAAACTTAAAAATCATCTTTATAATTCTTTTCTACGAACAAACAAAAACGAACGAACAAAAATTGTGTTTCAAATTTTCCAGCTCACTTTAAACATTAAAAACGCTAGTTTTATCTGCATCTTTATTAAAAGCATCTTTATTATTGTATCAGTATTAAAAGTAAATAGCCTGCAAAAATAGCGTCTACAAAATTATTATTTTTGCGTGCAAAAAATACGTTTCAAAATTTCCGAACTAAAACTATAATCGAAATTGTTAATTCGCCGTCAGTCAACACTTTGTGCGTACTTTCCTTGTGTAATCGGGCACGAGTTTGCACATCGGGACACCGCAGAATCCAAAGGGATATGAGGTCCATAGTCCACTAAATTCATACTAACGCCTTCCCAATCCCTTTAACGAACATGAAATTCGAACCATCACCTTAAAACTCAATACCTTTCAGGCCATCGCAACCACCGGAGGTACCTATGTCTGCAAGGTGAAATCGAAAGACGGACAGACGGCTACTGTCGATTTTGAAGTGACCGTCAATGGTAAGTGGGGAGGGCAGGCTAGCAGAGATGATTTGGGGAGGGAGAGAGGGGGAGGGGGCAGGCTAGCAGAGATCATTTGGGATGAGAGAGAGCGGGAGGGGGCAGGCTAGCAGAGATCATTTGGGATGAGGGAGAGGGGGAGGGGGCAGGCTAGCAGAGATCATTTGGGATGAGAGAGAGGGGGAGGGGGCAGGCTAGCAGAGATCATTTGGGATGAGAGAGAGGGAGAGAGGGCAGGCTAGCAGAGATTATTTTAAACATTTTATTATTTCAGAAATTTCATTTATTAATTTCAGAAAAGCCGAAGGTTACGGTAGAAGAGAGCGAAGTCGAAGTCAACGCCGGAGAATCCGTGCAACTGTATGCAAATATCTCTGGTCACCCACCGCCAATTTGCACCTGGACCAAGGATGGCAAGGCCCTGAAAGCGGATTCGAAGCATGCGATGAAGGAAAAAGTGGGTTTAGGACGCGAATTAGCCCGTTAGAGACTAAAGAGGTTCCACAGGCAATCAACATACAATTCTCCATTCAAATTTTCAAACGGCCTTTTGTTTCCTGAAACGTTCTTAGGCTTTGCGAAAAGATTGGATTTTTTTTGGATTTCGAAAAGGGAATGAAATAAGGGTTATGCGCGAGTTATCAGGATTCCTCCGTTTAAAATATTTTTGTTTGTGTGGTTAAAAAAATGTTTGATAAAAACTTAAAGAGCACGTTGGGGGACGTTTTTTTTGGAAAAAAGCAAAGATTTTTGCCGCGGCCGGGGTCGAACCCGGGCCCCACGCTCGGGAGGCGCGGATGGATACCAGTCAGCCACAGCTGCAACCTGGCGAAGGGGCTAGGGGCGCCCCACCCCGCAAAGGAGGGGAATGGCCTGTCACAGCACGGGCAGGCAGTGCGCGAGGTCCCAACGTCCATAGGGTGTACACGTCCTCCCTGAACGTGCGCTTTAATGCAAGATAACAATCAGCCTAAGGATCCCATTCCTCCGAGCACTTCTTCGGCAACATTGCGTTTTTATGAAACCCTTTTTTTTAGTCTAATATTTTTGAAAAATGAGGCAAAACGGCAAAGCCGGTGAAAACCCGTTCCAGCGAAAATCTATAGCCACCTTGTCAGCACCTCTAAAAAGTAAAAAGCTATACTTTCTCGGTTAACAAAGTTCATGGGTCCTTTTGAAACCCGTGAAACATCTTTATTCTTATTGTTTTAAATAATTTTAAGGCAATTGGTGAAATAGGGAAATTTCGAAATTAATACAGCCCTCAAATTCGGCAAAATTTACAAAGGCTGCATTTGTGCGAAAATCCATGGATTGGCTTACACGGTGCTTTAATGAGCAAAAACGACGTTGAATTATCGCTCGTAATTACGCAGGAGCATTGTATTATAATGAAACATTTTATTTAATTTAATTTTATGCACATTTTATGAAGAAAAATAAAACGATACAAAAGAATGTTTTAACTATGCCCCTTATGAAACCGCGAAAATGACCAATCGTTTGATCTTTTTTTCATCCGAGATAAAATTCATCGAATTCAAAACCTCCATTTTCAGGACGGCCTGGCCACGCTGACCATCAAGAACTGCCAGGCCGACTCGGCGGGCACGTACGTGCTGCTGGCGAAGAACAAGACCGGCGAGACGGTCGTCAAGATCAAGCTGGCCGTTAATGGTATGTTTTCAGTTAAAAAATGTTTCCAAAAATTTACTGGTTGCCGAAAACGGTTTACCGGCCAATCGGCACCATCCTAGGGACCAAAAATTTTCACAAATTCGAAAAATACGATTAAAAAATGTGAAAATCATAAATTGCGATTATCGGTTATTATCATTTCTACACGTAAGGTTTTTGAATATTGGTATGGATTTTAACGGCTTAAAAATTTAAATTGTTTAAAAATGAAATTAAATAAATTAGATAATAAGTTAGAAAATGAGACTTTAGCGCAGAAATGGTAGTTAATGATACTCAGCTGGCAAAAATAATATGTTTTAAAGAAATTAATGGTTCCGCCAAAGTTTTTTTCGCTAATCCTTGAATTACCGCGGTTAAACATACCTGGCCGTCAAGGGCAAAAAAACCCTAGCTGAATTAAAATTAAAAAAATGAAATCGCAATAAAAAAGGATAGAAAATAGCGGCTTTTAGAATCAAATGCTAAAAGAAACCCTGATTTCGTAATTTTTCTACAAGCTGTTCGCTAATGGTTCTGTAATTCAAAACGATGTGTTCCATAAAAATTATTTGTACCCCAAAAATAATGCTGGTCAGTCCTTAGATGCTCGATTCACACATTTATTTAATTCACTCTGAAAAAGTATGTACATTAAAAATATATGTTTTTTTAAAGCCATTGGTTCCTGAAACGGTCTGCTTTCTAATGAGCATCTCGAAGCACCCGAAATTTCAAAATTTTTTTGAAAAAATGATTTAAAAAGCTAAACACCATTATTTGTTATTTTTGCTTGCAACACGTAAAGTTATTGAATATTGGCATGGATCTTAAGGAACTACAAAATTTATAATGTAAATATAATAAATCAAAAAATAAAGTAAATATCGCAAAATTGAGGCTCTAGTGCAGAAAACATAGTGAATAGCGCGAATATTTGTGAAAAATGTGTTTGAAAGCAATTAAAAAACCGAAGGCAATTAAATCAAAACTCAAATTTAAATAATTAACATAATTTTAGCGCCAGGAGCGAAGAAAGCGGAGGGTAAGTGTTGTACTGTAGTGTACCGTAGCGTACCTGTCATTTTTTATTTTTCTGTCGCATGAAATATAGTTTTCCAGTTCTAGATGAGTTCTAAAATCTCATTAAATTTAGACAAACCGCTGCCAGCCCCGGAAAAACCTATCGTAACCGGTGTCACCCAAAACACGGCTACGGTTGCCTGGAAGGCCGCGGAATCGCCGGCCGTCCATTATGTCCTCGAGTACAAGGAGGTCGGTTTCTTAGGGGCGGCTTGGCTTAGGCTTGGCTTAGGCTTGGCTTAGGCTTGGCTTAGGCTTGGCTTAGGCTTGGCTTAGGCTTGGCTTAGGCTTGGCTTAGGCTTGGCTTAGGCTTGGCTTAGGCTTGGCTTAGGCTTGGCTTAGGCTTGGCTTAGGCTTGGCTTGGCAGCGGCTTAGGCTTGGCTTAGGCTTGGCTTAGGCTTGGCTTAGGCTTGGCTTAGGCTTGGCTTAGGCTTGGCTTAGGCTTGGCTTAGGCTTGGCTTAGGCTTGGCTTAGGCTTGGCTTAGGCGTGGCTTAGGCGTGGCTTAGGCGTGGCTTAGGCTTGGCTTAGGCTTGGCTTAGGTTTGGCTTAGGCTTGGCTTAGGCTTGGCTTAGGCTTAGGTGTAGGCTTAGCTTCGGATTACTTAGTAAGCCTAGGAGCTCAGAGACCACAGTCTAATAAACACATTTTAATCCCGGTCCAGGGTTAAGATCATTGAACCATAAATTTTGGGCATACCCGGGTAAAATTTTGAAACATTTACTTGCCAAAAAAATACTGTGGAACGCTTTATTTAAAGAAAAACATGCTTGCTTGGTTTTAAATACATTTTTTTAATAGTAGGTGTATAAATTTTAGCGTTTTTTCTTTTCTTTTTGGAGGTATTTCTTAAAAATTAGTGTAATCGAATGATTATAAGTCGCGGGGAAACAGATCTTACTATTAATCGAATTTAGCGAAACTTGATATTGCAGACGCGTGAAACATTTCCGCAAAAAATGGTAAATTTACATCGATTTGCTGTTGGGATTTATGGTATGATAGTTACATGATGCTCGCATTAAAAAAGCAATGGACGGATCTGTAATACTTTTTAGTAAAACATACATTTTGACCCGATTTTTCAGCTCAAATCCAAGCGCTCGTGGCAATCGGTGACCAAGGACAAGATCACTGGCACCACCTACACGGCCGAGGGGTTGAAGAAAGGTATTTATTCTTATTTTTAAAATACTTAAAATACTTTTATTTACCGAAATTACGTTAAATTATTTTTTTAAATTACTGGATTACTGAAATTACTGAAAATGACATAATGCGAGGGCGTTCCATCAAGCCTTGAATACCATCGAAAAGCTCGAAAACATCGAAAAATATTATTTTGAAAACGGGTTTCAAAATCTTGTAAAAATTGAAGCATGGTCATTTAGGTAATTGCAAAGCCAATTACATCAGTGCAGTTTAGTTAGCAAGTTTGGCTCTATTCAAGAATCTGGAAAATGTTTCAAAAAATTTCAAATCTTGCGCCCTTTTGAAGCCATTAATAATGCACGTAAGGCCCTTTTCTGTAAAGTTAAGAAACTCAGCAAATTCACCCTTTTGAGATCACGCCATTTTTCGCATTTCCATAAATAACTACAATTCCTTGTAGTAGCTAAAACCTAATTTCATCTCGTTATTTTATACAATAAAAATGGTAATTGTAATCATACCACATTCAGATCCAGATTTTCCGATTTTTAACGGGAAATGTGTTTCTCATCTATCTCAAAATAAAAATACTTTCTAGGGAAGTAATTTCATGTTTATGAAGGTTCCGTAGTATCTGTTAAAAATTATGAACTTCTTGCGGTTTAAGCCTCAGAATCCTTCATTTTATTCAAAATAGTACAATTAATCATATTCATATATTAAATTCAAAATAATTTAAGCAACTATATTAATTCTCTATTTCAGACATCGAATACCAGTTCCGCGTGTCGTACGCAAACGCCTCGGGTACCGGACCCGCTTCCGAGCCATCGGACCCTGTGAAATGTGAAGACCGGAAAGGTGGGTGCTTTTGGCTTCCCGGTCCCTTTAAAAGGAGTTGCCCCTAAAAATCACTAAAAAGCGATCAAATTTTTGTGTTTCAAAGATTTTGAAAACTAACAAAATTTTTTGGTACAGTTAATCACTGGATCGCATTTATTTTTGGCGTATTTATCTACGGATCAACTTTACAGTCGAAAATTATATATTTTTATGCCTGAAAATTATTACATATGATTTCGTTTTTTGAAAATATATTTCAAGAATGATTCATTAAAAATCGCGTTCGGCTGCTTCATTTAAATATGTAACACGTAGCTCTCAAAAATTACGCAAACCAAGGGGGTAGAAAAAAAGCTGTTTCACGGAAATACTAAAGCGTAAATCGGTGTTTTTGGTAATTAGGCCTCGCATGAACATCAAAAACATATGCTATGACGAAACTTGAATTATAATCACAAATCGAATTTTTAATACACAAATATGTATAAAGGTATAGGTGCAGGAATCAAATTGACGAAATTTTTCGGCGATTTGTCTTGCCAGCTCATGATTTTGCCTTAACCGTAAATATAACTCGCTTTGAGAACATGTTTCAAGTCAAAAATTATAAAAATAAGTTCCCGCTTTCTCAATTGACGTCTGTTTAAAAACCTCGAAGCCCAAGCGGATTTAAAAGCATGTTTCACCTAAAAATAATGCAAGGTGGTTTGACCGACTTGATAATCGGACCCAGGAGTTTTCTTCAAAAGCGAAAATAATGGCAATAAAACTATAATTATTGTCAAGCAAATCAGCATAATGAGATATTAAAATTCCCAAATTTTTAGAAATTTTTAGAAGATAAGGAAAAATCGGAGCAGGCCAAGGGGGCCGAGGAGGAGAAGGAGGTGGCGGCGGCCGAGAAATCGGCCGCCAAGCCCGAAGAGGCTGGAGGTATTTGTGAGCGTGAAAAATTGATGTGTTTTAGCTAGAGAGTGTGTTGCACCTAGAAACCCTATTTTTGGTTGCTTTGGGTCATTATCTTGCACTCACCTTTCTGAACTTTTTGTTATATATAATTTTTTATGTTGTGTGGAGCACATTAAACTTGCTTATACGCGAAAATATTTAATGTTTTATTTAAATTATAGATAAAAAATCGATAGAAATATTCAAAATTAAGTGTTTCAAAAAAATTCCAATATCTGGTCAAACTTGAAGCATTAATGCAGTTCGTTTTCTGCGCGTTTACTATTCTTCTGTCTTTTTTTGTAAAAATTGTCCAGTTAGTACGCTACAACGTAGTAAAAAACGGTTCAGTAAAACTTGCTCGATTTTTATTACAAAAATTATATACTAAAAAAAGTCTACTTCACTCCGATAATGCAATAGCGCCATTTAATTTTTCTATGCTTTGCAGGGCTATTAAAAATCACATATTTACAGTCGTCAAGTCGAATAGTTGTGAATCGATTAAATCTAACCTTTTACCTATTTATAAAAATGTTCCAAAAAATAACGCGTCTCGGTAAGGGTACAGGAATAATACTGACACGTTTCTCGGTATTGAACATAAGCCGGAAATAAAAAATGATTTTAAAATTAAATGTTTCGAAGAAATGCCAATTTTTCGGAGAAATGGACCAATTAGTGCCCATTCCATTTTGGTTTACATAACAAAATAAATGAAACAGTAATAGAACAGAAGAATTGCAATATTGAATCTCGAGGTCGAAAACAATGCTTTAAGGCGCATAGGGATCAAACGGGAAATTTTTAGGTTAATAGCCAGTTTTCGCAGACCAGACTTATTAAATATAGAATCAGCTTGGAATTATATTAAAAATAAATTGAAATTAGCCCGGCATTAAAAATCAAGTAAACTGTTTTTGAATTCGCTAGTCGTCTCCTCCGTCTTGTCGCACCTTTTCGTTGCGTTCGGCACTCACCTTGTCTTGAAAAATTTGAAACATACTCATATTTTCGTTTAGTCGAAGCCAAGCCCGAGTTCACCACCAAGCCAGAAGACCTCGTGGTTGCGAAGGAGAAGGGCAAGGTGAAGATGGTCGTCGAGTATCGCGGCCAGCCCCAACCCGAAGTCCATTGGTACAAGAATAAGAAGGTACGCCGATTTTTGTGTTTTTTAAGAGGGCATTGAAGACAATCGCCCGATCTAGTGCTTTATCGGGGGGGGGGGAGGGAATTCCTGTCGTCCGAATAAAATTTTATAATTTAATATAGGTATTTTCATCGTGTTTTTAGTTAAAGTTAACTATGCTTCAAGCGCAAAAGCCGTCTAAAAAAATAATAAAACCCGGCGCTTTTTTGGCAAAAAAATCGCGACTTTAGGTGTTTTTTAACCAACAATTTTGTAAATGGTTTTATGAATTTTTACGTTTAATAGAATGCGCTTTTAAAGGCACTAGGGACAAGACGGGCCGAGATCCGGGTTGTTGGCGACTTAGAGGGGTCAGAAACGCACGATTGCAGATGCTTGTGGTCGCACCTGGAGGAAGGATTTCCCAAAAAATATTTTCGATTCTGTTCTAGAAAGAATTTCCGACTCTAGAAGAGCGAAACGGATTCGGAAACTTAGGAATTTTGATAGAGGTGACAAACCAACTACTGAAGGTTTGAAAATTTGCGAAACCCATAAAATCGATGAAACACGTTTTTTAAAAATCGTGTTTCGGCTTCCTTCCTAGACTTTAGGCCTTTTTTCCTCGAATGAGGCGCTGCACTTGTCCGTATCATATTGCATATTGCAACCTTAAAAATGTCCGAAACGTGCAAGTTAAATGAAACATGTTTTTTAACTCAGTTTCTTACGCTTTTGAAGCTACGTCTTGATTTCAGGAAATCTTCTCCGGCAAGCGCCAGTGGATCGAGACGGCCCCCGGCACGTCCTCACTGTCCATCGGAGAAATGCGGGAGGACGACGAGGGAGAGATTATGGTATGTACAATCATATTACACAAAAAACTAGGTATTTTTAAGCGCAAAAATACGTATTGTATAGAAGATATTGAGGTTATAGAATTTAAGATACGCTTCCTGTTTAGGAAAAGTGACGTCTAAAACAAGTCAGCATTACAAAAAATCAACGTGATTTCTCCACTAAAAATTTTGAAATACACTTTCTTTACACACAATTTTTTCTTTTGTGAAAAACGCACAAAATAGGATTTAATCGTCTAAATTGAACACAATCAATCATTTAGTGAATTTAATTTACCTCATAAAATTACAAAAATGGACGAAAAAATATAAAAAGAAAAATTCGAAAGTTTCACTCGACGTTTCTACATTAATTGTCAGAGGTAACCTGCGACATATTTAAAAGCAGAGACGTAACACATTTTTCTAAAACGCGGTAAGATCTGTCAGTTAAACTGTCGAAAAACAAAACCTATTAAAAGTCATCACTCGCATTTTTAGATCAAACTGAAGAACGCCCTCGGGGAAGCTAGTCACAGCTTCAAGCTATGCATGGACTCGCCGCCACAGGTAGTTTTTTCCTTATTTAATTATTGCAATTTTGCACTTTTTGTATACTCTTTAATCTTCCATTTTAACCTTCAAAGAGAAAGAAAGATAGCATCAACAATGTCGTTCTCCGAAAAGCAAATCACAATAACTCCGAAAAAAACTGGCTTTTCATGTCAAACTATGAAACATGATTTATTCGCGAAAAAGTTGCAGAGGATTTTTCCAGTTACGGGATTTAGTTTCTCCTTATTTCTGCTATATTAATTTTTGCCTAAAAACATTCCAAAAGGAGCACTTCCAGCCTACCTATTCAGTGTTGAAAATTATTCATAAACCCATCCTCGACACCTGAGCTAAATAATAATTGGCGCTTCACGTTTTCTCCAGAACCTCGGAAAACCAATTCGGAAGAAGCCAGTGCTAAGCACATTGGTTAAACTAAAAACCTGCAATTTACACAAAACATTGCAACACAATTTTTTACTCCCGATTTTTCCAGATAAACCGCGTCGACCGCTACGCGTCTGCGCAGCTGTTCGACAAGGGCGAAACCGTCAAGCTGCGCCTCTCCTTCACCGGTTGGTAGCTTTAGATAATAATTAACAACGTTTGAAATGGAATGGATTGTCAGAAAGGGAAAACTCAAATAAAAATTTTTGACACTTTGTGCCTCAAAAATTTCGAGGATCCGAAAAAAATTAACATTATCGATGCAGATTTTAGTGTAGATTTAAGAGAGCACTACTGATCGTAAAAAAGTGTTCCAAAAATATAGGCCACTTCGAAATTTCTTTCTCTAATTGATCGGACTGCTCGAGCCAACGGAATTCATCGAACCTTATTATGTATTTAATTTATGTTGTTAGTTGTTTTATTTAATTTATATTTCACCAAACAAGTCAGTTAATTTGCGATTTTTTAAAAAATTCGTTTAACAAAAACTTATCTTGATTCCTTCAGTAGTGTTTGTTTGTTACATATTTTAGCGGTGATTAAAAGAAACAGACACGGGAGCCCATAAATTTACTATTTCGGTCCGAAACTAATGTTTCGCACAAATTCGGTCTTTTGCAAAATTGAAATTAGACAATGGGAAATCGTTCTAAAGCGCAAAAATTCATTGTGAATTTAAAATCAGCGATTTGGCGATTTTGTACGCTACGCCAAGAGCCCATGTGCGCATACGAGAGCAAGAGAGAGAGAGAGAGAGAGAGAGAGAGAGAGAGAGAGAGAGAGAGAGAGAGAGAGAGAGAGGAGAGAGGGAGAGAGAGAGGGAGGGGGGGGGGGGAGAGGGGGGGGGGGGGGGGGGGAGGGGGGGAGGGGGGAGAGAGAGAGAGAGGGGGGGGGAGAGAGAGAGGGGGGGGGGGGGGGGGGGGGGGGGGGGGGGGGAGGGAGGGGAGGGAGAGGGAGAGGAGAGAAAAAAAGCAGGTGCAGGGGCCTGTTAGCCTGTTAATTTTCATGTTTCAAAAAAGCAAGTAGTCTCCGATCAGATTCTTCGTTGAATTTTTTTTTGTAAGCTTTATTTCGAACATTGAATTTTTCAAAAGCTCCCTTGACAATCCATTCCAAAGGTTTGCCGTGTGCTGTCAAAATTCTAACCCGTTGATATACGGTATTTTTCTTCAATTATCGATATTTATTTTGTATATTGTGTATCTTAAAATCCAAAAATCCGCACACAGTATTTATTGAAAATTTTCTAAAAATCGCTAGCGCTTTAAAACTGCCGACCACACAAAATTAGCATAAAAATAACCTGGACCTCCAAAAAAATAATTATTCCAAAAAACCTGGTAAAAATATATTATTAAGGAAGGCATTATCTGATCGTGGAAATAAGTGATTTAAAAATTCCTCATAACCGAAAAATGTTGAAACATATTTTTTCATGGCACTCGTTTGGGCAAATGATATATTTGGGGGCGAACTAAATTGGCAAAAAATACCGAAAAATTAAAAATGACAATTCCAACTTGAGCACGAGCTTATTTCGAGTTCTCCAAATCCTCCCTATCCGCCTCCTCCTTCCACTTGAGCATTGACTTGAGCGCCTCGGCCTGGTGCTCATTCTCCATTTTTTGCTGCTCTGCGGCTTGCTCGTCCTAAAATTTAAATCAAATACGACCTTTAAAAATAGGGTAAATTATAAGCTAAACTATAAAATTGTAAAATTTATAAGGTATGATGAATGCAAAAATTTAATGTTTTCTCCGTTTAAAACTGAATCGAAACTCGATTTAAAAAATAAAACAAAAACAAAAGGCAATCAGAACTAAAAATCAGTTAAAAACTAAGCGAAAATTAAGTGGAAAAAAAGGTGTGTTTTAATGTTAGGGCACTGCAAACAATTTTCGAAATTATTGATCGGAGAACTTGAAGGACCTCCACAAAACAGTTTTTATATGTATTATAATTAACTTGTTAGGCACTGCAAAATACACTAAAATCAAAAAAAGCAAAATATAATACAGACTATGAAAAAAACAAAACAAAAAAGGAAAAATTTTAAAAACATGTTTCAAAAAGTTTCAAAATGCCGAAAATTTTTGATTTTCGAATGAAGCTTGAATCCGCATTTATTCTTTTGATCTCCAAAAAAACTTGAACAATGTATATAATAAAAATAAAAATATGCTTTTCACGATTCAATCAAACATTTTTAAAAACACAAAAATTAAATCCAAAATAATCCAAATGTTCACCGGTGTCTCGCGTAGTCGGGGGCCAAATTACGGTAGCTAATCTCAGGGATTTCAAAGGAATTTTTCATAAATTACAAGTTAAATGTGTCGGATTTAATAAGAAAATTAACGTTATAAAATAATATAGAAATCTGGGGTTACGGTAGATTGTAAAAATCTAGGCGTTAAAATATGGGCAAAATTGTACAGGCTTGTGGGTGAAATCACGTGTGAGCGTTTTGCAGTCCGGAGATTTGTAAATTTACATAAAAATTAAAGGAAATAAAATTTTCGAACATGTATTAGCATTTTAAAGGGACCGGGAAGCGAGGGTGATGACGACAAAATTATAAAAATCGGAAAAATCGAGAAATTAAGAAAAAGTTCTACCCGTTTCGGTCGGAGAATCGCGTAATAATTGTGTGGGGGTGGGGGTCGACTCGATTGGCTAGAGAGTGGGGGACGAGAAGGTGAGAGAGAGAGAGAGAGACAGAGAGAAGAGAGAGGGAGCGAGGGAGAGAAACAGAGAAAAATAGGATTTTCGATTTTTGGGGTCAAATTTCGGCGGATTTTCATAAACTGCCTTCTCAGCAAAATACTCTCGGCACTGTTTTTATCACTAAGAACCCAAGAAACCTGATTTTTAAAATTTGATGAAACAGGTATTCTTACTTTTCCAACAGAAAACGTTCGGAAATAGTCTGATCGCCAATTAACGGTTGTCATTGGTTCCGTTTTTGGTAGTTTTTCGAAACACTTTTTTTTAATCCGAAGTTGGGAATATCCGGAAATCAGCCCAAAAATCCATGAATATACAAGGAATTGGGAATACCGCAAAACAGGAGAAACACGCATTAACATTAATAAAATGCCATAAAAAAGTAGAGAAGTAGTAAGTATAGATAAGTAAGAGGATCGGTATAGGCAACGTTTCTGAGTGGCTGGGAGAGTGGGCAAGTCAAATTTGGAGTGGAAATTTAGGGAAAAGGGTGGAAGTGAGGTTTTTCTTTTCATTTATTCATATAATATATTTTGTTAAATGCGCTTTCCCATTTTCCGTATTTAATTTGGTGCCTTAGAGCGGCCTAAAAATTCCGGGTTTCAGGATTTGAATAGACCTGCATCGAGCTGGAACCCTGAATAGTCAAAGCAGTTTCGTTTTTTCCAAATCAATATGTTTGGTAATTGTTTATTCTCAAAAAAAAAACCCCGCAAAAAAAGATAGTGCTTCAAAATGCAATTATTCATCGAAACTGCTAAATTTTAGAATCTAACAAAACACGGTTTACGAAAAAATATATTTCATAATTTTGCACAGTCAGAATCAAAATTTGGCTTTTAATGTGTAGTATGATCGGAAATTCCTCGAAAAATCGCACTTCCACCCCTTAAAAAGTACCGTAGTTTACTTAAAAAATATATAAAAGGGACTGTAAAATGGTGTATTCCGTAGCATACTTTAACAATAGTAGTAGGTGCGGACAGTCGCGTACAGTGACGTACAGTCGCGTACAGTGTCGTTAGGAAAGGCGCGTCGTGGTAGTGGGGTGGTATACGGTAGTAATATACGGTAGTATTGATGTATTATAATTCCCCATGGTTGTTGAGGATGGCCTTTTGCGAGCCGTTCGGTCCGGGCGGCCCCCCTTCCGCATGCGCTTCCGATTGCGCCTCCTCGTCCTGGAATTTTCGCATATTTAAATTTGGTTAGTCGGGAGGTGTCATTTGGAGCGTCGTGTAGTTTTTAGCGTTTCTTAGCTTGCGATTAGGCATTTTCGGGATTATGCAAATTAGGGTTGGGTGAACTCAGGCAAGCACTCGCTTAATTTATGGATTTTATTTGTGTTTTAAGGGTTTAAAGGGACCGGAAGGTGAGTTTTCCTACGTAGTTTTGTGGAAATTACATACTTTGAAAATTCGGGGTGGTTTAAAACGATCTGGACGAAATCGAAAAGACTTCCCGGTCCCTTTAAAATTGCCCAAATTTGGTTAGTGAGTTTCTGCGGGGAAATTAGGCTGCATTTAGTGCTAAGTAAAGATAAATTATTTCACTTATGTTTTATTTTCTTTTAATCTTTTTTTTCTTTTAATCGATTTAATAATATTGCTTTGCGTTTATGGTTTTGGCAAATTTTTGAAACATTAGTTTTCAAACAAGGAAATGAATTTCAATCTGCCACAAACATACTAGATCTCACAAAAATTTTGACAACTCGTATTTTTTTTGAAACATCCATTTTCTCACAAACCGAAATGGTCAAAGCTGATGTTTAGATTATTTTGGCTAATTTGCTTTAAAGCCAGAAATTGAATAAAATAAGCAAAATAAATATAAATAAGCAAAATTAAAAAACCAACCTGTGCCACTTTGATAAAGTTATCGACGATGATCGTGATCGGTAGCGCCAACACCAACACACCGCACATAATTGCGGCCGAGGCGATGATTTTGCCCACTAAGAACGAAGGATTAATCAGGCTATCAAATATATGATAATATTAAGAAGCAGAGTTTAGACTTCGCAGCCCTAAAAATACAAAAATTTTTTAGCTAATCAAATGTTTCGACTTTTTCCGTAGTTTTTTTTACAACAACGGATGGTAATTCATCGGCGTCTTCTTTATTCACAAATATTTTGAACAAAACATGTTTTTAATTTTGCTTTAAATACTACTGTTGCTTTTCCGATAATTGCAAACGATACCGCGTTTTGAAAAATATTAGGCGGTTTTCGGGTGTAATCGGAGAGTTTAAATGTTTCTGATTTTCTAGGGCTATTGCGAGAAATCAGAATGACAATGGTGGTTCGTCTTTGTCTAGAATTGTCTAGAATCAACCATTTTTGTTAGTATAAAAATTTTTGCAACTTTCTTTAAAAAGATGATAATTTGCTTTGATTTTTGATTGGCCACTGTCGTTCGGTGCAAAATAATGTTTCAAGTTTCCTTAAAAAGACTGAAACACAAATAATTTTAATTAAAATTAAAACCCATTCCGCTCTAGATGAATTTCAGAGTTTAATTTAATTTTGTGCGGTTTGAATATATGAAAATATAATTTAAAACCTATTTTTACTATATAATTCCAAAATAGCTTTAAGATATTATTATAATTATTCTACGATAAAAGAATATCTTACTTGTCGTTGCTGGAACTGCATCTCCATAGCCCACCGTAGTCATCGTCACGATACACCACCAGTAGGCTGCCGGGATTGACGTGAACGGGGTTTTCTCTGGAATAGATAAAATAGATGTTTCATGAAACTTAAAGCATCCGAAATAATTATTTAGCAGACTCAGGGTTCCAAGGGAAATTGAATAATTTAAAAGCCTAGGTCTAAATCATTTTTTCAAAAATATCTTATTCCTCATCGCTTCTTTCTGTTATATAATAAGCTCTTGCACGTTTTTATCTACCTGTCACCGTCCCTTTAAAAAAACGGTTTTCCACCTCTCCTTTTGGCAATTACCAAATTATAATACCAGATAGGCAATAAGCTTAAAAAGAACCAAATTCCACTTACCCTCGTCCTTCTCGAGGAAGTAGATCATCGTCGAGAAGAATACCACTCCCGTCAATAGGACGATCGTCATCATTTGCAGCTGCTTTTGCGAGCGCTGCAACGTCAGCCCGAACGTCTGCAACCCGGACGAGAATCGGCCCAGCTTGATGATACGGATCACTCGCAGTACCTAGAATTTAAGGGGGAATTTGAATTGCTTTAATTTCAATAGTATTTATTGTTTTTAAAGTTTTCTATAATTTTTTTAGTAAAAACACAAAAGATCCGTGCAATGCTCTTTTCAAAAAATATGTTTTACCTATTAAACGTAAAACATGGGTTTCGAAAACCTTAAATGTTTTCTTAGATGGATGGATCAATTTTATTGACTGTTTTGAACATTTTTCATTAAATTAATTTTACTTCACATACCAGTTTCGTAAATAGATTTTTAGCCAATTGGTAGACTTCAAAGTATTGAATTGTTTTGGGAGGGGAATGTTTTTATTAATTGGCCGCGAAACATAGTTTTCGGAAAGGGCTGTTGCAGCAATTTATAGATTTCTGATAAATCCTCGGCTTTAAATATCCTAATAAATGGTATTAAAGGAACTAATTTTGTAAAAAGTCACATATTTAAGCCTACCTGACGATCAGGAAGCTTATATCAGTTTGAGATCAGCGGTTATTGGTTTGCCAGTACATCGCATCATGGATTAATTCCATATTATTTAAATACTTAGGTGATTTTTGTGAAACATGAATTCTTCAAATACTTAAATCAAATACTTAATATTCCAATTCCAAAAATACGCTGCTCTTCCATAATATCCTCGCAATGAAGAAGCTTCTAGCACTTTATCCTGATATTTTTTGCTGATTATGCAAATCCCACACTGCAACTGATGGATTACAAGCGCATTTCTTAGGGAATTTTTATCCAAATGCACTTTTTTTACTGTTTTTTTGTTTTTTTTTTGAAGATTTTTTGTTAATGAGAAATTTCGAATTTCCAAATGAGGCCAGCACACATTAAACACATGCTATTTGCCTTTTTATTTAATTTTTTATGAAACTTACTTTTTATGAAACTTTTGCGCTACAAATTACCGAATAATAATCAAATCCGTACCCTCAATATCCTGACGACCAGGAAGGCCCATCGCAAATCGCGCAGCTTCTTCTCATCGGCCCCGAATAGTGTCAACAACAGCTCCAAGTAGAAGGGCACAATTGACAGCAAGTCGACGACGTTCAACGGCTTCAGCGCGAAGCGCAGTTTTCGAGGCGCCGCGAAAAATCTGAAATTTTAACGTTTTGGTGTGATTTTTGTCGTCGCAGTAGTCCCGTTAATCCCAATGCCTTGCGGAAATTAAAGCCCAAATTTTCTAAACATTTTTCGGAAAAAATGCTTTTTTTGCACATCCATAAATATCGGACTGGAATCCTACCATTAATGTTTCTCATCGTACCTAAAACGACTAAAAAATAACAAAAGAAATTTATTTTGGCATTTATTAAATCTGCCTCAGCGTTAATTAGGATCGTTTTTCCGTATACTCACCTGAGACAATATTCCACTGTAAAAAAGGCGATACATGTCCGTTCCGTGAACACAAAAGCCGAGTGCTCCACCTTCATTTCTTCCACTTTTTCGACGATCGTCACGGTGCCGTTGGGGAGCACGACTGTCTCGTTGTGAGGGGGCATATATTGGGTGACCTAAAAATCGAGATTTCCCAAATGATCTCTGCTAGACTGCCCCATCCCGCTCTCCCTCATCCCAAATGATCTCTGCTATTCTGCCCCCTCCCCCTCTCTCTCATCCCAAATGATCTCTGCTAGCCTGCTACTGATTTTTCCGACTGAAACAATCCCTGAATTAAAGTGTCCAATTTTTGGCCCTCTATGTTATTTTTTGAAACTCACTTTTTCTGGAAAACTGGAAAACCATTTTTGGCTTCTAAGAAAAAGACTCAAAATGAGCCTAAATATCTCTCTCTCGCTCTCTCTGGCTCTCTCTCTCTCTCTCTCATTTTCTCACCTGCATCTCGGGAATCGTTCCGAACGACAACCCCATCACGGATATCATCACAAACAGCGTCGACGACAGCTCAAACGCTTTTGCCTGCATCGAACTCCCGGGTCTTTCCAAAAACGTCCACATCCTTCTCCGCAACTTTCCGCACATCAGGTCGTCGAACGTGTGGTCGTCCACCTGAGAGATGAGAATTTATCTTCGGCGCATATTTCAATAAGCCCCTTTATTGCTCATGATTACCTTAGTTTTTTTTGAAACCTAAATTCTGCACAAACTCAGTAAGGTGTTTGATTCTTCTATTTTTTAGTTTTTAAATGATTGTTAAATTTTTGCATCATCCAATCAATACAATGCAGAATTGAGTGTCCAGCTTTTTACGATTCATGAAAAATTTATGAAACATTTAATTTCTAGAATTTTTTGCTATTGGCGATTAAGTCTCTGGTTAGGTTCCGGAAATTTGATAGGGCGTTGGCCCGACGCACTAAAAAAACTAAGTTATTTTGCTGAAACGTTTTTTAATTTTCTGAAAAATGCTTGTCTGGGAATTGGGTAAAATTGAAGAACATTTGAGCAAAGTATTAATAGGATTCCCATCGTTTGTCTGGCTTAATTTTATGAAACATTCGAGTTTTGCGAGGTTTCAAAATTAATCTAAAACTTTCTTCTCCACTTTTTGAGCCTTAATCTTTTGAATGTAAATTTTGCATAGCCTCATGCTCACCTTTTCTTCCTCCTTCTCCTCGGGCTTCTCCCTCGGGACAATATCCGCACAACACGACCCGACGTGTTGATGGGATATCCGCCAAAAGTCGAGCTCGGACAGGAAGGAGGCCGGGCACACCTCCGAGGGACGGTGGATGACACCGGTGGCGTAGTACTGTAAAGATTAAATATGTTTAGCTGAATTGGCTTAACTAGTAAAAAATACGCCTTAAATACCATTTTTCGTTTGTTAGTTTTGAAAAAAACATGTTTCATAAAATCCTAAAAATTTCAAAGTTTGTGCAAAAATAATCCTTGGTATTTATTTCTTTAAATTAATTTAATTTTGTATTTAATTGTTCGCGCTTCGGAAATTTAAAAATTAAGTGAATTGGAAATTTTGAAAGGAAGACCGATATATCACTTGTAAAATAGCCTTTTGGATCCCTTGTCGCATAAATTTAACGTTTATTAAACCTCGGGTTTCCGCTTTTTCAAATGTACTAGATAAAAAAAGTATCTTTCACAAATCCGTAATACCGTGAAAATTTCGTTACCGCCAATAGAAAGGCTTATTTCGGCACAAACCTGATAAATGGCCTCAAAGGCCACGGGGCTGCGCTGAAAAAAGTAGGCGTCGTCGCCGGGCATGTACGCGTCGGCTATCTGAGGTTTTTCGTATAGTTTGCGTAATTTATGCGATCTGTTATATGTTTCAATTTTTCACGTATATCAATTTTTCGTAACTTCTCGTAATTAGCCTTCAGTTTCCTAGCTCAACATTCCTAGATTCGAAAAAATGTTTTATAAAATGGCTAAATGGCGAATTTTCAATAAACTAATCGTAGAAAGCCCACCAACCTATAATAACCTTTTATTACAAGCAGATCGTTTTAAGACACTGATTTTTATCCTGATTTCTACATTTTCATAAACAGATAAAAATTTGCTAAAAAAACATATGTTTCAAATTCGAAACGTGACAACATGAAATTTCTGACGCTAGTCAACGTTAGGTACGTCCGGTAGTAGTCGTCCGTTGAATTATAAAAGTATTCATAATTCCTTAAAAATGAAATTTTTCATAGAAACCATTGCAGAATACGTATATATTTACTACACTATTTTTATTGCCCTTACCTTAAGCCTGGAGGGATGGGTGAGCTGGACGAACTTTGTCAAAAATGTTGTGTTTTCCGCTCTTAAAAGCGCGTCGACGAGGATCATGTATCTGAAAAGGGTATTTTAAATTATACCCTAGACTTTAGGTACTTTAAACCATTTTAAGCAGGATTAAATATAAAATAAATATAGTAAAACCAACTTGACACCGCCAATGTTGAGCCGCAAAAACAGGGGCTCCCCGTCGGGCCCGAGCCCGCCCGGCGCTATCAACTGAAATCGATACTTTAATGATTATTAGCATAAGTAAAATTGTTATTTTATGAAAAAAACCGTTCAGGCCAATTATTAAGGCTAGGATTTACTTAAATACCCAAATTCTTGAAACATCGCGCAAAAAAAATTACTTCGGTTTTTTCGAGAAGAATGTATGTTTCATTAAAGCTTTTTCTTAGGTATGAGTGTCTTTAGAAATTCTAGTTTGCGGAAATTCGCTGACATCTTGTCTCACTTTCGATACTAAATGGATTTTAAAAAATCGAGGCTATTATTGGTTTGCAAGAGCTAAAGATCGTCCGAGCATTTATAGGTAAAAATTCACCTAACTAGGATCACTTTCCAAACAAGCTTTTTCAAAAAATCATGTGGATTTTTCGCCAATTTTTATCTTACTTCAATGCCCCAACAGTCGTGAATTAATTGCTCTCTTGATAAATTATCGTCTTCCGCTAACTGCTTTTCCTAGCAAATCGTATTCGACGTAAGGGAAGAAATGTTTCGGGTAAATTCAAAGCTTTTGACGCCTTTTTGTTAATAATCGACCGTTGCTTTATGGAGGTCATTGATTTTGCCGGATTATCCTGATACTCCTACAAAATGTTTCATTAAACTTGCAGAAGCCGAGGGTTTTGCTGAACGCAATACCTCGATCAAATCAAAGCAAAAATAATCAAATCAAATCAAAATAATCAAAAATAATGCATCGCTTTGGCTTTTAAATAGATTTTTAATTCAAAAGGTATATTAGATTTTGAGGCAAACAAAAGTTTTCGTAGACAAATTCCGCATTTTTTGAATATAACCCCAAAGCGTTTTCCGAAATTACAATCAAAAGTTTCAAAAAGTTACCGAGATAAAGATTATTTGAGTAGGATAATTTTTCGTCACTTCGTATTTTTCCGATCTCCGATAGCCTTTTTTTAATGAATTATTAATTTTTTTAGGCATACGATTTTTCACAATAATTGAAAGATAACGGTGTTAAATGGCGAACAATCCGACAAGACTGGATCTCCTATCATTAACTTTTCTCGAAAATTTTCGTAGTTCCATGCTTTAATAAAATGATAACTTTAATCAGGCGCACCTGAAACACATCGGAGCCGCCATTCTTCCAAATGTCCTCCATAATTTTGGCGTTTTTCCGCTCGGCGTGTGCCATCGCGTCCGTCCGCCGCAACGGGATCAGCCGCTTTTTGTGCTGCTGCGCTGCGCTAAAGCGAGTTTAATAATTTAATACAGATTTAATTAAGGAATGTTTGCATCTTATCGATTGCTATGCTACGCCTTTAATCCCTAGTAAGTTCTAGCTTACTCCCAAGAAATAAAGATGTTTCATAAAATTTTAAAATACCCGAAAATTGTTTGGTGATCATTTGATTTTGGCTCTTCGTAAATATAAAAATTACCTAATCAATTATCATTATTCTATGATTAGATACAGCCTATAAATTTTCGTCGCGTTCTAGTGCTACCCGCAAAATTACGAACTTTGCTGACGTTAGAAAAAATTTGTCGAAAATGAAATCTTTCTTCTAAATTAAATCGAAGATCGAAGATTATTTAGAATTAACGCAAAAACGAAGCATACTTTAGAAATTAAAAGTTTCACAAAGTCATAAAGCTACGAATTTTTTGAACGCGATACTCAGATTCTACGCATCATTACTAGGAAACCACACCTAAATATTTAAATTTTCCACGTTTTGAAGAGTAAATGTTACATCTAACTAAGTTACCCCGCGCGTTCTTTAAGCTGGAATGAAGGCCATAGCCGAAATCCCATCCAACCCAAAAATCAATTTTTTTCGCGGAAAATCGAATGCTTCAAAAAATTTTAGATATTAAAAAATTTTTGGAGTTGTAATAGTGCATCGATGCTTTCAGTGCAAATGTCCCCAAAAATCAATGGCACCCCTGCGCGCATCTGGCATCGTTTAAAGGGGCAGGTACCGGGCTTGAAATTGGGCAGATTCGATCCAGCTTTACCCCAAAAAATTGAGAGCGCTAGAAGCAGCTTAAGAAAAGGCTTAAGCCCCAAAATATTAAAAGGTTAAAATACACCTATTTAAAGCATTAACTAAACTAGAGAAAAAAAGAAAAGCTAGAAAACGCTTAATAAAATCCAAAAATACACTATTAAAGTACCCCAATCGTAAACATCACAGTAAATTTTTGAAACACTTACCTCGGTGCGGAATGCGGATGGAATTTTTGTTTTTGATCACCGTTTAAAACTCATTGAAAAAATAGATTACAATAGAAGCTCGACTCGGAAAATGTGCGAATAGAGGAAGCTTGGAAATGGTGCAAACCTATGACTGAAAATTGAATTAAACGCGGGCCTTTCCTTTTTTACTAAGATTTTTTTGTAACATCTTCTCAGAAACATGAGACAATTCTTGGAAGTTAATTTAGAATATTGCTTATTTAACAAATTAATTTACTGAATTTAATAAAACGCTCTTAGCTAAATTGTAAAACAAACTTTTCTTCTAAAGCTATACATTAAATGATGTCGATGGCACTCTTGAATTCGCTGCAAAAAACACGCTAAGATGCAATTTTTGCGAAACGCGACTTTCTTTTGGTTAACATTTCTGTTTAATTTTTACTTAATAAATAAATTGCGAAGCTATTTGAAGATTTATACAAATCACGAAGAATTAATTTTTTGGAAAACCGCAAAATGTTTTGAGTTTTTCGCAACATATTTTTTTTGGGAAAAACCGCTAGCCTAACATTTTTTTGAAAACTGGATTGCACAAGATAAAATTCTAGTTTTTGTATACCAATTTTAAGGATATCTAAACTTAAAAAATACAAATTAATTTGATCTCAATTTCCCCCAATTTCGATAAGCTTTTAGAGCCCCAAAAAACCGCATTCCGCCCGGCACCCTAATGACGGCGCATTACGCCCGTAGCCCTGGCGTAGCGATTTGCATACACTCACCCGGAGATCATGTTGCCGGTGACCCTGAAACGCTTGAATCTCATGTGGACGTCGGGGGCCCCGGGCACCGGGAACGCGACGCTGCCGCGGTGCTGCAGCACGGCCTGCGAGATGGCGATCGCCATTCCCCAGCCAATTTTCGATAGTTTTTATAGTTTTAAAATATTTTAAAGCTCAAAATCGGCTTCTTCAGAAAATTTGGAGCCGAAAATTGTGTTGCTGGGGGAGTTTTAGACAGGTTCGACACGGTGTAAGAATCGAATGTTTCAAAAAAATCAGTAGTTCGGAACTTTTTTTCAGGTCCGGTAGATCCCAAAATAACTTCGGTAGTGATTTCAAGGGCCGTTGAAGGCAAATATATAGCGAATTTTAAGTAGATTTCGAATAAATATAGGATAAAAAATAGCAGATTTTCTCGAGCAAATTCTTAAATACCTTCTACCTTCCTTAATTCTCGTCGTCCAGCATTTGCTGGAATTTTATGGATTTTTTAAGGTATATTAATAGCCTTAAATTTGCAGAAATTGGCAAAAAATGTCGAATTCCTTGTCCGGGTCGGTCTCGGTGTTCGGCTTCTTCTCTTTCTTCCTCTTATTCTTCTCAAGTAACACCCTCCAGCCAACCCAGGAAAATCTATGTTTCTGGCGTTTTGCCGGATCCGGTTTCCTTGGGTGAGACAATTCTTGTTGCTGGACTTGTTAAGGAGCCGAATAAAGGGGCTTAACGGAATTTCCTGATCCGGAACTTCCGGAAGACCGTAAATTGTGGCGTTGCGGAGTCTGAATTAATCACGGATGTCCGTAATTTGTAGCTTTCCGGAATTCTGGACACTTCCAGAAGACTGTAATTTGTAGCGTACCGGAATCGGAAAAATTTCCGGAGCACCGTAATTGTAGCTTCCCGGAATAGAAATCAGTGCCGGGCGACCGTAATTTGGAGCCTTCCGGAGTAGAAATCACTTCCGGAAGACCGTAAATTGTAACGTTCCGTAATAGAGCACTTCCAGAAGACCGTAAATTGGAGCACTCCGGAATCGATCCAGGGATAAGTGAATAGTAGCGTTCCGGAAGCGATCCGGCCAACCCCGGAATCGATCCCAAAAATGTTGGATTCCGCCGCAATACCCTCTGGACGTGCGATTGGCCGCCCGGAAAACTCAACCCAACCCGGGCCAGGTGTCGCGTTTTGACTGGCCCGGAAAGAGGCCTTGAGAAGGAGAAGCCGGAAGAAGCCAACTGGAACGCCCCACCACACACACACACGACACTCGGGCGTCAAAATTTGGGGGCGTGTGAAGGGGGAAAATTCGCGAAAAACGAGTCGAACTCCTCGACTCTTCTCGTCTGTTTTTCCCGGCGAAGATCGAGGAGGAGAAGCCGCCTCAGATGAGGCTGCTGTGAAAACAGCGCTTCCGGATCTTTCGGCTTCTTGGGGTGGTGGATTAGCCGGAAAACGAGCCCTGGGGGATGGGGTCACCCCCAGAAATTTCTCGCCTTTTTTGGCTGGGCTTTTGGGGCCAACGGCCGTGAAAATTGGAATTTTTGGGCGTGAATTTTGAGGGCGGAATTAGCTGGGTGGTGTTGGCGATAATTAGGATGACTCTGTATCTCTGTCTCCTCTTCCCTCTCTCTCTCTCTCACTCGCTCTCTAGCGCTTTCTCTCTCTCTATCTCTCGCCAAATAATAATGAGCAATTCATCAGCCCGATTTCGTCACTTCCGGAATCCGGAAATAGGGATGAATTTTGTGTTAACGTTATAACTAGTATAATCGTTCAATACTACTTAATTTAATTTTCATCTAATTAATATCAAACGGATTCCATGAAAAAAAAAGAAGATTTTCAATTTTTTTGCAAAAAAGTGTGTTTCATCTAGTTATGCTATCGGTGTCGATCATTTTCTGTCAATTTCCATTTGATTCTTGTTCTTCGGTACTTTTTATTGAGAGTTTATGGTAGAGTCTTATATTTATATGTTATATATTTTTATAGGCACTTGTACTTTTTTAAATAGGTAATGTAAGTAATTTTTTGATAAGTATCGCCCATTTTAATTTTTAGGTATAAAATTTTGGTGTTTCGCCCATTATTGGAATCTGGCCAAAACTGTTCATTAATAAGCTCACCCTATTTTGCCATATTTTGAGTTTTAACATACAAATTTCTTTGGCCATATTTTTTCGCTGATGGCTTCTTGGGCACCGGATTTTCGAAAACACTTCCCGGCCCTGCTCGGCTTTTCCTCGGCCTCGCGTTTCCAAATTTTTCTTCGTCTTCTCACCGCTTCTCGCTCTTTTTTGAGCACTAGACTCCACAAGATGAATTCGCTCTCACTCCCAGGAGTGCCACCTTCATCGGCTCTCTCTCTCTCTCTCTCTCTCTCTCCAGAGGAGTTCCTTTTCCATTCGATTCCCTTTCCATCCAATTGACGGGCGGAAATCCACACACCTGGGGTATAGGTGTCCCTCCCATCTTTTTGAGGTCCATCTCCAGGGGGCGGGAAATAAATGCACTTTTTGGCAATATCGACAATTTTGGCAGGGTGCCAATGTGATCAAATTTGCGGAAATAGGGTTTCTAGGCCGAGTTTAGGCTACTGACGTGGCTGGAAAATGGAAAAATGGAGTATTGGAGGGTTTTAGAGGGGAAAATAGCTAATAAAATCGGAAAAGACTGATGGTTTTTCTTAAATGTTAAGAGCTTTCAAAAAAATTGATTACAAATATTCTAATACTGGCAAATATCTTTGGAATAGTGCCTTCAACACCCAGAAAATCTAAAATCTGAAACAACATGTTTCAAGAAACTGCATCAAGTCCGGGCTCCGGGGTTCCGTAATGTTCCACCCCGACTAGGCATTCTTACCATTTTTTGTTCAAACCGTAATGCTAAAACCGTTAATTCAAACACATTGGCGGCGATTTTGGAAAGTGAACTTCGGCTTTGTTAAAAAAATTTGTTTCAACTCACAGCCTAGTTCGGCTCATATTTATGAGGTGTTATTGATTTTGTTAGGAGCACAGCAGTTAATATTACATTTTTAGCTATCTTTATAGTTAAATGCACATTTAAATTATTCAAAATATAAGTTTCATATTAAATCCTGACTGATTGCCTGCGCAAATTTTTTAATTGTGCGATGGGATTTCGTACCGCTCTTTTCCTCTTTTTCCGCGCATTTCCGCCCAATTTTCGAGCAGCTTTACCCTGTTTTTCCTTAGGCTTCTAGAGTCTTGGCAGTCAGCCAGAAGCGCTTCTAGCCACCCGGAAAATCGCACCATTTCCGGTTCAAATTTTTTCTCTGGCGTTTTTCCGTCTAGAGGCCAGTCTGATTGCCGGAAAAGGCCGCGGCATCCAGCTGTTTTCAAGCTTCACAAATTTTTGCGGCTTTCCCTCTTTTTAAGAGCGGTTTTGGCTTTTTCCTAGCTTCAAAACGGCCGTTCCTTTTTGCCAATTTCTAAAGGCTCCTCTGGCTTTTGCCTTGGCTTTTCATCGGCCAGCTTGAAAAGCCTAAAGCCTGGGGGATTTTTCTGGGGATCTTTGAACTTCTTGAAGTTGTGGTGGACTTGTTGGAGATATTTAAAAAACTTAAATTAAGTATTTTTGAAACGTATTAAGGGAGACGCTTAACTTAATGTTTTTTAAGCTTGTGCGAGTTGCGCGATGCATATTATCTTGTTTATTTTACACTAAATACATTGTAGTCGTGAAACAAATTTTTGTGTTTTACGCAGCCGCGACCATGGTCGCATTAGCTTGAGAATTTCGTCTTAATACAGTTCAAATAGCGAAACATTCTTTAGAGAATTCTTCGTGGTTTTTAACTACCGACTTGTGACTCGAATTTAATTATGATGGAATCCAAGTTTTGTTTACTATTGGCTACATGCGCTTTATTTTGTTGTAATTTGGCTAAAACACATTTTTGGAAGGGTTTTGCGAGAAAAATGTGTTTTCTTAAAATCCGATACCAAAGGGTAGCTTTTGGCCTCATTCCGCAGAGCTCACAAATTCTCAAATTTACAAATGATCACCTCGCGTTCGTCGATTTAATGAATATATAGAGAAATAGAAAATACAGTAGGAATAATGGAAATCAGCGGAATATGCAATTAAATTCAGAAGGCATTTTTAAGCAATCTTGATGTCGCCAAAAGAAGCCTAAAAACACCCAGCAACACCATTTTTCTTGATTTTTTAGCTTTTCAATACTTGTCGCGTTCCCGGGTACCGTATTAAACGGCCAATTTTAGACCAATTTTCCCCTTCCTCTATTTATTTCTTTGTTTTTAAATTTACTGTTATACACCTTTTAACGAGATTCAAATAAAACCTAATTCAAAATAACCTTGATTTCCTACACTTTGATTGCTGATTTTCAAATTTTAATTTACCGATTTTAACTCCTAGATTTTTCTATATATTTTTACTGGAGCTTGTAAGGAGATTACTGAGCATTTAGGTCATTAAATTTTAAAAAAACCGCAGAAAAATTTTGAGTTAAAAAATTGTGTTTCGGAAATTTTTCAATATCAAAAATTTTTCTGGTTTGACAATGGCTCCTTCGTCTAAAGGAAAACACACTGTGCGCCAAGGAGTTGAGCAATGGAGTGTCGTGGGGATAGCATTACGGTATTATAATAAAGTGATCTAATACGCAGAATTCCTGGTCTTAAAGGACCATTGAAGGCAGGGAATGCCGGAATGGGCCGATTTTTCTCAGGTGTTCCCCTCTCCAAAAAATGCTCAACACCCAATTCATCTTCATCATCACGAGCTAGGGGGTGAGGGGTCGATAAGTCCAAAATATCGGCGAGTGAGAGAGAGAGAGCGAGAGAGAGAGAGAGAGCGAGAGAAAAGCCGTCAAAACCGCCAATCACTCACCGAAACGCCCCGGGGGCACAACGAGGTGTCAAGCACTAGGGGAGAGTCTAGCTAATTAATGGAAAAGTTTACAGAATTGTGAAAGATGCATAGAACATGAATTATTTATAGCTGGTTTCTAAGGAACATTATTCACTGGTACGTAAATATAGCTAAAAATAGTCCGTAGCATAAAATTGTCGTTTCGAGAAAAAAGCGTTTCATCGAAGTTATTCGAGGCGACTAACATTTGCAAAAGCGA